TTTTCTTCCTTGTGCTCGACTAAGATCGTCACATTTGTCATTGGTTCTTTTTCGCTTTTTCTTGCTTCATTGAGAAAAAACACAGAACATTGATACAATAAACGTATAGAAAAGTGAGGAAAAAAACTAAGCAATAGAAATTAGTCATGTTGTTTAGACACCATGAGTAACTAGTGAACAAGAAGTCTAAGAAACGAATAGATATAGTTGTCTAGTGTTTGCTAAGACATCAATACACGATTAGTTATAAAACATGAATTAAGAGCATGTGAGCATTTCTCTTGACACACTGATATAATGTAAACAAAACAACATTTTCATTGATATAGGTCATGGGTGAAAATGAATCACTAAATTCATTGTGATGGTGTGCAATTGTAAAATCCAATGTCATCGTGCGAATTAGCGGTGTACCAACTCTAAATTCAGTTCTAAGCTTCGAATCGCTATGAGTTGGCATTGGTGAGGGATCTTTTGTTAAGAAAAACTTTTTTTTTTGGAAAAGTAACGTTTTTTATTTGTTAAGTTTGACCAGGCGTTTTTGGAATTGATGAAACTAAATCTGTCATCAGTTTTTCAAAATTATGTAAAGCCATCGACATATTAGTAGATTTCGGGTATTCTACGCATTATGTTTCTATAAAAAAACGTAATTTTTGCTATCCTCAATATTATCATTTTTATAGAAGTCTTTTTATGTTAATTTTATTGTCACTAAATATTTTTTTCATTTTTCTACTCTAGTAGAGTTAATACAAATAGCCTGTCTCCTATCACTAAAGAATAATTCACAAAACGAGTATCTTCATTATAAAATGTTCTAAGTCAGACAAAGTACCGTTCATTGACACGTCGGAATAGGAATATTTTTTACAGAATGAAAGAACTCGGTGATATAATATTGTTTTTTATACGATCGAATGTAAAAAAATTAGGCTTTTTGATTTTTCGGCATGTCTTTCAAGATTAGCTGTTTGTATTGGATTTCATTATTGAACTTGTAATTTGCTCATCTCTTTCTGAATAGAACCCTTGATCAATCTTATCATGATCAATATAAAATAATGATAGATGTGAAATGGTGATTAGATCATTATTCATAAGGAAGGGTGGGATGTAGGTCAGCGACTGAAACCGAATCGGATAAGCGAATCATCCGACTCAATTTGACTCAGCCGAGTCGAATCGAATTCGAATTGAACTTTTATCATTTGTTTCGGTCTCTGGTATGGGTTTAGTTGTGGCGTATGAGGCGTACGTACTACACCTACACTCTTATTTTCATAGTCTGAAGAAAAAAAGATAAAAATGAAGAGACAAATGTCTACATATTGAAATAATATTTGAGCTGTGTGTATTGATAATATCCCTTTCCATACTCATTTTGTATCTTAAACTATAATTTATTAAAAATACAATGTAATGATTCAAAAGAATAATATACTAATGAATACAATATCAGTGCTATTATTTTCCTTATTGTACTCTATTTCAAGAGAGGATCGTGAAAATATACGATAAGCATACTCATCTTGAAACAGCTCATGTAAGATGCAATAAAAGTCTGGATAGTTTCTCGATGAATTATCATTGATATAATCGAGTTCTTTTAGAGATCTCTATACAAGTTTGCGTTTCGTATCAAAAAAGAATATTAATACAAAAACCTATGTTATCAACATTATTAATGAGTTCGTTTCTGGACATTTAAACGTCCTTTTTTTAGATGAAAATTTAAAATATATAGGATAAACATAACATCACACTTAACGTATATGAACATAGATGCGAAAAGTATTGAAATAAAGATCACATTCAACTCCCTCCTTTTTGTCGGATGAGTATCTTTTGCCAGTGTAATTGGGATAGGTATTTTTGATTAATTGACTAAAGCTAAGATGTAGACATTGTGTTATTCATCAACAAGAGAACTCCATTAATATATAGCAACATACGACAATAAATTATTAGAAAAGTGAAAAAACCATAACAAAATTCATTGAAAGACTTGTGATGACTTATATTCAAACAAGAAATATCGTTTATTATGTTGAATTTTTCAGTTTTCAAAACTCAGCTAAATTTCAACAGAACACACTTGCCAACTTCACAACTTCCGAAACTTAGCTAAAGTTCAATTCAAGTTGAAGATAATTTGATATATGTAAAATCAATTATTTATGCTTATATTTCCTGGTTGTTTTTGATTTTCAAGTCTTTTAAGAACTCTATTTAATTTTGCCTAAACCTCAATGTTGCCTGACACATGTGTGTGTGGATTTGTCCATCAATTGATTTTTCCCATGTTTTGTTACATGCAACATGAGTAATTGCCATCAAGTTGTGCAATGTATGTGCATTACAGGTATAAGATAACGGAACGTATACTTGGGTAAGATTTCATTGCATACATCACAGCGAATGATAAGCATTCATTCTCAAGCAGTTTCTTTTCAATTGTATTAGTACGTTTTATACGAAAGATAGTGTATCGAATCACTACCAAATATGATGATCTTGATTTGAGTAGTTCGACATCAATGAATCGTCATTCTTTTCGTCAAGATAATCAAATCTGGAAGATGCATGAAAGCTTCGAATTTCAGCTTTTGTGTAGAGTCAGCTGTTGCACAAACAGGAAAGTGAAAATAAAATAAAATGTATTAAGACATCGCTCAGTAAATAAGATACATATTGTCAATAGACGATAGTCTCTCTACCTTTACCCAATGTTTGTGAAAGAGTCTGTGCATCACTCGTTATATATTTTTACAGAATATCTGAAGCGACTAGAGGGAATAATTCAACTGTTAATTTTGTTATTTATATGTAAGATTCAAATATCGTTGAGTTTCAAAGCCATCGTATTGTAGAATTAGCCAGAATGAAGTCAATTGATGTCCAGTATGCAATTTGTAGGGATATTCTGAAAAATCCAGTAGCTTGTTCAAAATGTGAGGCTGTATTCTGTTGTGCATGTATAACTGAATGGCTAAGAGGAAATAGAAAACACTGTCCGATGCGATATAAACCATTTGAGCAACGACCATGTCCCAAAGTCACCGGTGAATTTGAGTCGAATGGCTGTGTGGAGGTCAGTAGTCTTCTTGTACTACTTACTCATTCGTTTGTGTGTTTTGTTCTATCGATAGCTCATTTCATGTGAAGGACTTGATAGACATGAGCAAGAGTGCGATTATCAACCTAAAAAAATATCCTGCTTGTGATACAGATTTGTTGAAGAAGGATTTACCTTGTCATGTGGCCGTTTGCCCACTGATGGAATTGACATGTCCAAATTGTGCTATTAGTTATAAACGATATAATGCTGCTAAGGTTCATACAGAGATGATCTGCATTGAAGAACAAATACGGAAGTTCAAAGCGAAAAAACAACGATTACAGAAAGTAATTGAACAAAATAAACAAAAACATGAACGAATTATGCAAGGACTGCCTGACATTTATAATACTTGCATTCAGCAACAAAATAAACGCAGCAAGTCCATTGAGTAACTTGAAAGCATAATGAACTAAAATATGATCTAATGTGTTCGATTATTTTTGAAAATGATACTGCGGTTACGTACAGATAAGTGTAGATGTGTGGGTATGGGTGTAGTTTCTCTTGATCCAGAGTTACATTCACATCCACACACCCGCTGTTTAAATCGAATTGCTATCTACTATTCGTTTTACCATTGTACATTCATACTTCGGCAATACAATGAGATGTTGTGTTCTTTTCAAAAAATTCAAATTCATCACCTATGTTAGCGTAGTGAACATCGGTCAGATTGAACGAATTTTTCGTACTGAGTGTGGAATGGACGTGATTGTAGCTGTGATCCTTCTCTTCACTTACACCGACAGCGACACCCGCACCTCTCAGACATTGGTGGTTCAGATGCGCATATCAAATCAAAAGCATAAAAGTTTACCAGTACCTCAGCACCAGGCATGATCCTCAATCTTTTCATCGATGTTATCTTTAGCTCATAAGCAGCACAATGGTAAAAGGATTAAATGAGGCACAGAATGCTTATCTCATGAGGTATAGATTTTTGTGTGGTATAAAAGGTCAGAATGCAACAGTGATCTTTAAAATACGATACAGTTGGCAACTTTGGTTATTTCCTCAAACTGTCGATCATTTATCTAAGAATTTTGTTAAAATAGAACAGAATTTCTAGGAAAACAATACACATATTCGAAGTCCTTGAAAAAATACGTATTTTGTACTTCATGTACACGAAAAAAGCATGAATTTCGTACCTAAAATGAATGTGAGTGTGTAAGGTTTTGTATCTGTTTGTGGATGCAAACATGCGTGATCTATAAACGGGAAGCGAACAGTTAAACGCGTGACAGAATGGTTTCTTCTCAATAGAATACATCATGAACTGAGAAATCAAGTTGAAATTGGATCTAGAAGTTAAGTTTGTAGATGCTAATTAATGAGTCAATGTGGAAATCTTCGACTTTGCTCATCGTAGTGCAACCATTTGTGATTTTGGAGAGTATGAAAACTCTATGTCAGGATTCGAGAATCAGATAATGAAGTCATAATGTCAGTTCTAGACTTGCGTAGCGTAGTATCTCAGTGCCTTTAGGCTTGTAATGAGTCTAGCCTGTATAAATTTTCTTTTCAACAAAGAATGGCCTTCCACTGAGCTTTAAGCTATTTGGAAACGTTTCGTTGAGAATGATATGTGAATGTGCTCCATTATGATCTCTGCTACTTCGCTTAGGTACAATATTTTTGCGTGAAAAGTTCATGATCTTTACAGTTTTTATGGTTTACATGATGTTGATGTTCTCAATAACGAGGTTTCACTCTATAAGCCTTGAGATTTTTGCACGGTGGAGTAGGCGAAGAAAAGGACAACATCCATATTCTACAGTTGTTGATGAAATTGTCCGTTTTTCCTAAATCTTATTTTAAGAATAAAATATTCATGCAAAAAAAAGAACGACAGTACACAAAGAAGAAATCAAGTTCAAGTCATTTTGTTAAAGACATGTTTCGCCACTTTTCGCCCAAGAATTTGTCCATGTTCTTGATCGCTTCTCCAATGTACGCCTAGATAGATTCGACTAAGATAATTCTCTGTTTCTGCTTCAGTAAACGAACCATATGTTCGTGTTTTTGCTGGTCGTACAAGTCCGGTATCTGAATCGATTGTCTTCCCATTGTATTCATCAGATTGAAATCGAAAACGAATATTATCTCGGTTGTAGAAGAGACGAAGCATTTCGAAACAAGCTGAACCAAACGACGAATGACCAGAAACAAACGACGGAAATGGCGGAGTGAAATCAGTACCAGCACCATCAGCTGGTGCTCCCAGAGGTATCCAATTGGGATCTGCCCAAGAAGATTCGATTGCTTGACGAACGCCCAGAATAGGACGCCAGAAGTTATAGTAATATTTTGCCTCCCATGTGGCAATACCTGCATCAGCCAAAGCATAATTGATCAATGCAAAGAGTCGTGCATTATTTTCCATTGTATTGTTCTGTTGAATGGCAATGACTCGAACAATTTGATTGTACAATCGTGGAGGAACGCCTACGTTTGGTACTCCATCATACGCCCAAGCGATAGCAATGTGTGTCTGATCTTGTGTACGAACAGTGCTCGTTTTCGATCCAACACTCTTGATCTCATCGAATTCTCGTGCATAATCAACGGAACTCAAATAGTTGCGACGAGCTTCGGGTGTATCACCGATAATATTTGCTGGACGATATTGAGATGAAAAGTCTAAAGTGAACGGTTTCACACTGCCCCAATTGGCACCGAGAAAGCCTTGATTTGGATGGGTTGGATCAGCTTGATGATAGCCTGGTTCCATTGTTATTGTATAAACTTTGTCCTGTTGACTGCCATCGGTTGCTCGATCGCTTAGAATGAATGAAGCAATCCATTTACCGACAAAAATTCCTTTGTTGATGTCGACCTGTCTTGTATTATTACTGGCGAGTTGCTGCAAATGAACTTTGCGAACAGCATCGAAGATTGGCCGTTGTTTCGGATACAAGTATGACAATGTTTGATAGGCAGATTCCATGATAGCTGCATCGACGATAGAGCCTCGAAAAGCATTACCGAGTGGGGAAATATCTTTCGATTTCCACATCGGTTTGAATGCTCGATTGAATGCAGTCAGCGATTCATACATTGCACCGTGAATGATGGCAAAAGCTCGCGATGTTGCTGTCGGACCAATTTGATCAGGCACAGGAGCTATACTACGATCATAATCATTGACACAGGCTTGTAGAGTGACCATGTTCCAGAAAAGAACTGCATCCATTGGTGTTGATTGTAATTCAGCAATCATTGAATCAGTTGCTTCTTCTAAGACTGTTCCACGATTGAAAACAGAACATTTCGTCGTCAATACCATAGTTAAAAACAGTATGATCAATTTCATATGGGAATCCATGTTTGATCGTCTGGTGATGGAGTGAATAAATGTTGCTCGTATTTATATGTTGTATATTCAAAATATATCAGCAATTTCGAAGGTCAAGCTCCCTGACACAGAATGATTTGTTATTCAATTGAATACATTATTAAGTCACTTTATGGCCTGATTTACAGTCGCAAACTCGACACTTTAATGACAAGATTTGGTCGGTTCCAGCCACATAGTGTTGATATTTATGAAAAATACATTAATCTTTGAAATCACTTGACTCAGTCTACTCTTACAGTTATTTTTCTGTTTCTTCCTTTTTAACAGGTGGATGTTAGAAGATCGAGAACATTTGCAACTCGAACATGATCTAGTCGGATTTTGCAAAGTGTGGTTAAGAAAAAGTCTAAACATTTCAGAACTCGACGATTCAAGCGAACTGATCAAAGAAATGGACATAATTGAACTATGGATAATTTTTCTATGCAAATAATCTATTTGACGATTGAGAAATCTTATTCTACAAATGCGACAATCGCCCAGATCCAAAGATTGACAGCGTAAAGATATTTTCGAGTTGCACTGCGCGGTACGTGATACTGTCGTGAATATTTCCTCCTGCACTTGACAGTAAAGATGGGATTCAGTTTGCGTTCTTAAACCGAACTGAATCGAAAAAAAAACCACTCAAGCACCATGGAAAACTTTTCTGAACCTACCCAGGATATTAGAATTAGCTCTTATTACGAAATTGAAAATATCAAAAAAAAGGTTAAAACAACGGTATTAAAACTGCTTTTCTTCCTCGCCTCCTATACAATTGATATTTTTTCCATTTCTTTTGCAACATATTCTATGCTCTTATGTCGATGTATATGAAAATAGAGAGTCAAACAATTGTTCATTTAGGAATGCCCGAGCTTGAGGGTGTGAGGTGTGTGTATTACTCTTTTCTAAAACCGTCACCTACAGTCACAACCATACCTCGAAACTAGCCTACTTTGTAGACCTATTTGCACTGATAATTTTGATAAAGAAATTCTTAAATCGAGTGACGAACAAGAAAGTTAGAGTCAAAATACTGAAAAAAAAACATCCTATGCTAGAAATTCGATGCTTATCTGTATTTTGATCCTAACTTCCTTATTTGTCAGTCAATTTAAAATTTTTTTACCAAAACGATCAGCGCAAAAAGTTCTACAAAACAATATATGTTTAAAAGTTATTGTACTTTTTCGTTGGCTATCCATGGACTCACCTTATACTTTTTTCTTCTTTTAGGCTATCTCACCGATCGGACCAGGCAGTTGAAGAAACAGCGATGGTGTCATTTTGTAACGCGACTCACAGGCTTTCAAACGGCATATAATAGAAGTTGCATTAAAACCTTTGCAGAGGCTAAAAAGCCAAAATACTTCGTTGCTGGTTAGAAATTACCACATAAACACAATCATATAGTCTTATCACCCTGCTAAACGGGTTTTCAAACAAGACTTTTTATGTAGCTACATACAATTTTACAAGGGCTTTCTAATCATATCTGAATGAGACGTATATGTTGAGAAACACATGAGTAATGGTGGAAATACGAGCCTAAAATCTGATATACTAGCATGGACGAGAGCAAAGAACTGTGATCTCAAAAATCATTCGAGATAGCAGTTTTTCGAACTGAAAAAAAACACTATAAATAGCTTTTCTCATCGAATGGGACCTATTTCGGGAGAACAGTCGAGGTGTCCCAAAATGGTCTCTTAGGCGCTCCTATCCTTTATAATCACTGATCATATATTGGTCTTTCATTGCCTCATATTTTCATGTTAAATATGTTTTGATTCTATGTACTGTATTACATGGTGATTGTTTGATTTTGTTTTTTGATATTTTAAAAAGACATTGTTAGCTGTGCTATATAAAAAAAATTTGAAAAAAATAAAAACACAAAAAAGGAGATTTTTAGCTTTGCAAATCATTTATTTGATCGATAAACTTTTGAATGGCTGTTGTTTCTAAATGTATTATATTCAGGAGCAAGTTTATTATTTCTCTATTTGTTTTGTCTTCTCATTTCGGTAGTTTAACCATAAAAGCATGGGTCTAGCGAGAAAAAGTCCAATCGATCCATACAAATTTCCAATTGAGCTTAATTGTAATGATGAACCATATACCAAATGATAATTTAAAAATGAAAACATATGAATAAGATCTTCAATTGCCATACATGAGACAAACAGTTTTAATATCTATTTTTCTGTTGAATGAGTATCAGCTGGAGTAGATATTGATGTAGTGCAATAACGTATCAAGAAATATTCAATCATTCCCAAAAGGATCATCACCATACTGAAAATAGGAAGATGAAAATGTCGAAACTAAACAGTTAATCGTTTACTAAAGTTTTAAGGTAAAACGTGAAATAAAATTTTTTCGAACATCTTTCTATTCGTTAACCTTAAGTTTGCTTCTTCAATACACGATCATCTCTTTCTGCCTCTCTGAACAACAAGAGTTTGCAACCAGTCTGGACAGAACCGCCGTGGATAGATGACGAGGTAACGAGCTAACAAGTCAGCTCGCCACGTTACCACTCTTACTATCAGCAACAAACTTGATCTTTTATCCTCACTCTCACTGTTACTCTCATTCTCAACTCATTACCACATCACCTTATCCTCGGCTGTTCCGCTGTGACTTAAGGCAAACTGTGGCATAATGAGCACCTACCAGAACATTCTGGTTATCGTATGTAACACTGAATGGTCCATAACATTTGAGTTGTTAAAAGATGGACATAATTGCTTTAGTAATGTACTAGGAAAAAACATTCCAAATCGGTCAATACTAAGATTAACTACAATTGCCTCACCATATTGTAAAATTAGTACAAAGAAAACTGAATATCGAGCTGACGAAATCATTATCTGAAACATAGAAAAAGACTTGCTAATTTTTGTTACATGAAATTCATTGTTAGAGTAGATCATCAAAATAAAAATTGAAAATAAAGAACTTGCATTTTCAATCTAAGAATCGATAGACGAATCATCTCTTTGAAGAGATAATTTTGTACTTGAAGGATTCTATCGTCGTATCGCAGCGAAATTAAAGCTGATAGTATAAAAAAAATTTTCACAATAAACTTCAGCTTTGTGGGTATTTCTTCAGAACGTACATGCCCCATTACAAAGTTTGACATGAAAATCTAACACAATATTTTCTTACATTTTGCTTATACCAGCAAAGTTGTTCACAATCTAAAAAGTAAAAACGATGAGAAACATAAACTGATACTTAACAAACAAATAAACGATAATATATGTATAATCTTACTGCCTGATGCGTTTACGCAAAAATGGAAGAAGAAAACAAACACAAATTGCAAGTCATGTTTAGATGATAGCAGTACTGTTAACTAAACATAAACTCTTATTGAATACTACAGAGAGGTTTTTAAGTTCTCGAATCAAAATCTACATTTTTCTAGCAAAGTTCACTACGTACACTTTGTTTTTGTGAGCAACATGTAAAACAGCATATGATATACTGTCAGATCCTATATAAGTCACACTTTTGTCGTCAGATGCTGACGTCATCTATGCATTTGATATATCTTTTTGGCCCTAAAAATGCTATAATGCAATTTGCACATCAAAAAATTCTAAATTTAATTTAAAATTTAATGAAATAGGTCTTATTACAGGACGATTTTTGCATTGATATTCTTACGTCAAAGTTGTCATCGATTTGTTTCAGATTATTTTCATATGTTATTGTTCAAGATGTATTCGTTATAACTGATCCTGTTATCTTATTTAATCTGTTTTAGATTTTTCTCTAATAACAAGGTGCAATCTCATTCACATGAGTTTTATGTTGTCGAAGAGAAAAAATAAATTTCTTTTTATGTTGTATTCTTTTTATCTTTTTTTTTATACAAAAAGAAATAAAATATTTGTTCATTTTATGAACACTAAAAAGAATATCATGAATTGGTCTAATATAATTTTCAAATTCAGTTCTCTATTCATTCGAAAAATTTGTTTACATTGAATCTGGATAAGAATGATTGTTTGATTATTGTTTATGAGAGAAGATGTAGGTGATCTTGAACAGAAACGCATCATCATGCCGATCTCTTTAACAACGAGCCTCTTTTCAGATGCATTATTAGTAAAACGAGAGAAGCTAGTAATGCGTACATATTATAATAATGCTGTTTTGGTCATTGTAGAGTATATTATATGGAAATCTTTTGAATTTATTCACAGGAAGAAAAAAAACATAGATGTCATCAAAGCGAAACGCATCTCCCATTAATTAAAAGAAAGAAACGACTTTTTACCCTTCTGACAATATACCGATATGGAGCACAAGCAGGAAATGTTCTGTAGATTTTGCTTCTGCTTAGTACACTTAATATTACAAACACTGCCCTATTAATTAATTTACAATTATAGGAGAGGAAAAAAATCATTGATCCACACATTCTATCTATCATATATATGTATAGAAAGATAACGTTCGATACAGAGTACATGCACATGCAGGCCTCTCTATAATCGGACATCGTGTGGATACGTCAGACTCTGAACTATATTCACGATTGTACACATGAAAGTTTTGCTCATGTGCGCGCATTAATATATTGTCACACGGGAGAACATACGAATATTCTCTTAAACCGCTCACGCGTGCACACGCATGAATATGAAGGAGCCTTTTTGTGATATAAGATTCAAACATACATACTTTGTGTTATAAGATAAACTTCTTCGCTATTCGACCATTTACTTACAGTAGAATTCTGATCAAGCGTGTATAATATAATGGTTATCTGGTAACTATGAGACATGCATGTACGCGGATGACATTAGTCATTGAAGTATTTGAAAAAAATGAATAAGTTTTTTTGATCAAATAGTGTAATTATGGAAGAGAAAAAATTAACTCCTTACAAAATATAATTAGAATACAAAGAGAAGAAAAAATAAAATCTGGCAAGTTGCAGCATGCATCCTGCATGATGAGAAAAATTTGCATTTCAACGTTAAATTACTGTAATAATAATTTTCGTAAACAGGACCTTCTGCATTGGCATAAAGAGTATTGTAAAATTCTAGTCATCTGACAACTTGCACGCAAGAAATACTTTGACATTCAATGTGGATCATATGTCTTGCATGGATACGCAAGGATATTACTTACAAATATTTCCAACGATGAATTCTCGCATGATCTCAAATGTTTTACTTGAAAATTAAAAAAGTTATGTTTTCACGCGTGTTTTTGCGACACGTGCCTCTTTGCATGTTTTATTCTCGTATACTTGCACGAGATAATGGTTACTATTAAAAATGGTTTGCATGTTTGTACATGATAGATAGTCACTCAAAAAAGCTTACAAACAAAGGGAAGTATCTGATATTTTCCCGCAAATATATGCGTGTTCCAAACTTCGGTGTTCGACAAGGCAAGAGAATAGGATAAAGATTACAAGTATACGTAGACACTATTCAAATAAATTTGATTTTATATCATTTCTATATTGGAACAACAACACATGACATAGTAATAAAATAAATAAACGTTTATTTGACATAATTAATAACATTGATGTAACTGTATGGATAGGTGCTAATGGCATATTTGTACTTAATTCTGTTTGTTTTATTACAGTCATTGTTATTGATGGATATTTATGTCTATAATATTCTTCTGTTATCATTTTAATGTTTTCATCCAATCGATCATGAACTGTTAAAAACTTTTTAGTATTTCAAAGCGTGAGGTGTGGTGTGGGTGTGAGAGACTACCTACTTTTCACAATAACACACCACACTCGAACCCAAATGCCACACTCATACGCTACGTCTCCTCCCCTTCCCCCTCCCCCATATCCACACACTCACACCTACACCCTACCCTTGCATAAAATATGAGCTTTAAAAGTTCTAACAATCTGTATGATCCTCCTTCTTAGATGTTCCTAGACAACGCCCTGAAGCTACTCTACTTCAGATATAAGTCACAGGTATTTTCGGTCGAATTCATTTCCTATGCACTGTACGCCTAACCAGTAGAAAAAAATCGATAAAATAATTTTTTTTTCGCGAAAATTAGTTGGATACCTTTGGATTTACCCATAATCAAAATAAAATAAGCTGTCATACAATGTACGTGTAGAACGAGCTAAATTATTAGTTTTTTAATTGTAAATATTGAACATGATGTGGATATGCTTTGAGTGAATGAAATGTTGAGCGTTGCTGTTGAGACGTATAATTAAATTGAAAATTGGGATTGAATCGAAACTCATATGTAAAATTTGTCAATTGTTCATTAAGTTTAAATACATGTACTGATCGTGTGCCAGCAAATTGAGCAAGACCAAGTTTGAGAAAATAATTCACCACAAGAAATCGATTTTCTCCATTTGGATGTAAAATTACATGAGAACCTGTTATATTATCATTATTTGCACAATATTGACGAAAAGTAGTTGTTTCATTTGTATCAGGATTTAAAATCGGCACACTATCAAGTGCCTGATCATAGCAAAAGTCAAATAAATTAAGAATTTCTGGATGTTCGGGTTGTGTTATATTAAATAAAATAATAAATCGCATTTGAAATGTCATTAACAATCGCATACCATCAGAAGATATTGAAATGAGTCCTGCACTGATTCGTTTTACATAATTATTAACTGCTGAAATATCAAAAACCGGCAGAGGTTCAGCTATGCTTGGTCCAATCAAATATAATATGTTATCATTCGTACCACATGAATATGCACGGCCATATGGATCATTTGGAATACTTTTAACATCCATAAAACCAATTCCTTGTCCAACTCCACTGGTTTCTCTAGATTCAGTGGAAACATTAAATTGAAATGTACGTTCTAAATTTCCATCTGCTGAGAAATACCGAACAGTACTACGAAATAATATCCTCGAAGAATCATTGCCAAATAATGTAACAGGTTGAATGTAATCTGCCATGAATAGAGATTTATCATTCAGACGAGTAAATCCGTGAGGATTAAAATTAACGAAGGTCGAAGCATTATTGAGAAATGATGTTGCATTAGCAGACTCAGCATCAATCCGTTGCATATTACCAGGACTAACTCCACTCTCATTACACATCATAGTCAAGAGAAATTTCGCACCACCGATAGCTAAAAATTCGTCTGGACATGCACCAGGTATGTCCATTGCATATAAAAATTGTGGTCCATCCTGAACATTCTGAGGAACACGCCAGACAAATATTTCTTTTTGTTTCGAAAGAAAACTCAGTAAACCACCGGAAATATAATATGTTCCATCGGATGAAATAGCAGAATGATGTGGTTCATTTCTTGTTTGTTCGATTCCGTTGGAAGAATTGGAAACAAGCGATACGATTTTGAGAATCTGTCCATAAGTAGAAGAACTTTCGTTAAAGTCGACTACAGCAACAAAATCAGCAGCATTTGATACGGAAACATCTTGTCCAGACCAAACATATAATACAGCTGGATGCGCTGTCAATCAGAAAGGAATTCGTTTATTGAATAAATAAAACTTTGAATAACGATACTATGTAGAAATACTTTCTTACAAATTAATCATTCCTCGAATATGATAACAAATTTTAATATATCTTTTAAACTTCTTGTCGATTAATATAGACGATCATATCTTATCTCTACATCAAAAATGACTTCATTTTATGTGATTGCTCAAATTACATCTAATGCAGAACTTCGATTTCATTGAAAATTGGATTTATAAAGGCTGTATATTAGTGGAAAAAAGGAAACAAGAAAAATTTAATCTGCTTTTCTTCTTGCTAAAATGACAAAATATTAAAAAAAAACAAATTGCTTGCATAATATTTTTTTGAGTAGAGTAGTTATATTTGTATTTGTTCTGTGGAAATTGTGTGTTATGATATTGACGATTTATAGATTGTTCAGAATCAACGCTCTCTGATACCTTATAAACAATAATAATCAATTGAATTTGAATAATTGAACTGACCTGCAGTACTATTTTGTGAAACACTGGATCCAAGTCTCAAAATATACAAAGGAATTAAGCTTAACACAATCACCATTGAGACTCCGATCAGAACTAAACCAATGCGAATCACGACACGTATGTAACGATTTCTGAATTCAATCATTTCGAACTAACTTTATTTTATATCATTCATTGCCTTATATCAGAAGCGAGAGAGAAACAAAAGAGGAAATAACGAGACTAGAAAAGAGATAAAAAATAACACATCATGCATAAACAATCAATGAAATCAAAGCTTGAGAAATAAAAGATGAAACCTCAAGAATAAGTAGAGAATGTCACAACATATTGAAGTGAGTTAGAACCCATAGTCTTTGAGAAAACAAGAGAAACATATTGTTTTTGTTCATTATCATAGAATTCTTTGTTTGATTCTTTGGTTAGGAGTTTCGTATATAGATATAAATTTTAAATTATTTTGCTCTAATCATGATTCTTAGAGTTTTTCTTTTTTATTCAACATATTTTATTTCTACGAAAAAATATATCAGGTCCTTTTCAAATAATGAAGTGTAATATTATTATTAATGTCAAAACTATATAATGAATAGGTTAACTTGTAGTAACGAACAAGAGCAACAAACTAATAAAAATAACAGTAATAATTACACAAAAGCAATGGAAAACGTTACGTTCGTTTTTACATGGAAATATATTCTTTCATTGAAGATATCATGATAATTACCAACATAACACTAGTAAAATCAATATAGACTTCATCAAAATATGATAGTTGATCTTTTCGCTGCCCATCTTATTATAAAATGTATATTTATGCAATTTAAAATTCTCAAAACTTATAATTGAATGATTTTGTGCTATTGTTTTAAATGTTCCTTGATTCATTTGAATTTAAGAATAATTTTGAATTCGATCATATATATGCTGTACTTTTCGCAATTTCGACAAAATTATCAGTAAAAGAAAAATCCGTAATCTTCATTAAGTATTTGAGACACACAGTATATATCTTACAAATTTTTGTCGATTTTGCTGGAAAACGAATACTCAAGATCAATCAAGAATATTGATGAACTACTACGTATATTCTCGCTATACTCAACATTGTCAAGAACTCATTTTTTTGTTATTGAAGACCTTGCGCAGCTGCAACAGCAAAAATCTCCATGTAACGATTTTTTTTTCACTATAAGCTATTTATAAGCGGATTATAATATTGTAACAATCCATGAGCAGCTTAAAAGCGCTTATATTTTCGTCTTGTAAGCCGCTGAGAGCCGCTTTGTTGAGTAAGTTACTTAATGCAGCTTAAACAATAGTTTTGGAAGTGCTATGAAGCGCTTATTATCTAAATCGCTTAAAAGCGCTGTGAGTTTCTTCATGTTTAAGCACTGCTAAGTATTTATTGTGTAAATCACATAGCTGTGCTATGCTTCTGAGTACCTCATATGAACATTTGTTTCAAAAGTTCATCTAAAGTGGACAACAAAAGTTTAAAAGATATTTCTATTTTTGTGTTTCTTTCAAGAAAAAGAAAACCAAATATTGTGGAACAAAAAGTATACAGTTTTGTTCAGTTGCCAATGCTCTTTCTAACGATATATTTGAAAGCCAAAAGAAAATTTGTATTAATTAGTTAAAACTATCAATGATTAGTGCTAAGTTATTAAAATTAATCATTAAGAAATAACTTTTATACCAAAATATAGTCCGTTCAATTCTGCATCTGACAGTATAGATTTTAAAGATTTTGCTCTGTTCTTAATAACGATCGAATTAAAACAATATTAAAATTGTCTTAAACTTTTTCCTATAGAGAAAAAAATGTATCACGCTTTACATCCTCAACTAACAATCAACTTGATCGAACACTAACGAACCGTATATGTCTCTATCCTGACTACATATATGTATATAAAGATACTTATTCTCTCTTATCTTCTCAAAGAGAATAAAAAGAATAAACAGTGTCTTAAATTTTTGCTGTCCACTTTAATTGTAGTTATTATCATTTCTATTGATAATGTTATGGGTGAATTGAGATTGTTTACTCATATATAGAGAGTGCTTAGGGTAATTCAAATATTGTAGCGGGGGTATTTTAATTCCTACATCTTCAACTAATATCATAATAATAGAATTCTGATAAGATATTCTTGTTATGATATGTACCAGTTATATGAGATCATATTTTATCTTCGATGTGTATCCTCTTCTTGATATTCTTTTTCTCAGGTTGAGAAATTCGATCGGATTGAGTCCTATGGATGTCGGGTTACTTAACATTGCTTTATTTGATGTTCATTTTAATACTTTTGTATTAAGGTTAAAAACATAATTTAATACTTTCGCCTTAGGGAACATCAACATCAACATCTTCACTCATACCTACACCCAATAATTTATTTTTAGATGGGACAATAAGATCAGTTCACGAAGACAAAGATGAAAAAATACATATATGATAGGATGTAACTATTCCTCGTACATATGTTCATTATGAATTTATAGATCTTTTCATAAATTACTCAAATATATTTGAAATGTATTTTAAGCTAAATCGAATCGAAGACATTTTATTTGACAGAAATATAAAGTACTGTTATTGATGCATGACCTATGGTATTTCCGCGTTGTTGTGCAAAACGCATTGCAGGATCTGTACTATATGATGTATTTATTTGCATATCTTGGGCTGTTTGTTGATAAGTAAAACGAACTGTTGGATATTGTTTATTGATTTCTTCTACTGCCGCTAAGCCAGCTTGACTCCGTAGTTGTGCACGCATTGGTCGTTCGGATACGGAAAATACCTTACTCAGGCCAACTTGAGATTTACCCGTGCATTTGTTGATATAATCGATTGCTTGGTAATATTCTTCTGGTGTCATTTTACCTTTTAACCAAGTAGAATCAAGAAGAGAATTCGGATTGAAAAATCCATTAGCACCTTGAAGTTTGATAATTCCACCGTTCATAAGTTCGGCTACGGGTAAACGAGGTGTGAAATTTGCAATTTCCGTTTCAATATCTGCTTCTGTATAGTGTCCAAACATACCACAAACACAACCCATTTTTCAATAGAAATTCTTTTAATAGAATATAAAATAATAATGATCCAGTGACTAATGTCAATTCTGATTGATGCTTCATAAGTTGCAGATGCTTTTATGTGCTCATTTGGAAGCTTCTGACGTAAAAAAGAAAACAAAAAAAAGGAGCGTGATAACAGTATGCGTTGAAAGCATTACTTCAACGTTTATTTTTGTTACCACCTTCACATTCTTTGTTCTTATCATGACTGTTTCATACGATTAGAAAGTACGACAGGGCACATGAAAACTATTAACGTCCAACTTACTTTGAATTTTTGCTTTCTTTTTTACAAAACTTACACGTTACGAAAAGGACAAATTTACGTAGATATGTATGAACAATAAAGGAAGAAATACAGAATATAAATCGCATTGAGAATAAGAAAACCAAATCTTGATGTATTGCAATGTACTCGGTCGGGTTTAGTGTGTTGTGTTGTTTACTTTTACTGCTGGCTTCAACTGACTGTTCATACATGATATTTAACGTTTCTTTGTCATTTCTCCGTATCACAGTCTTTTTCCTGCCTCTGTGATAGCTATGTGTATCATCAACTACCTTTCCTCTGTAGCTCTTTTGTTCTATCTTCGTTTTCTTCTCATTCCTTGTTGTATATATAAGTGTGTTTTTATACCACAGCAGGGCGATTAATCATATCGAGAAGCTAAATAAAGTATAGCTCCATCCACATTAACACTTCTTCTATTTGAAATCGTCATTTGTGTCTTTTGAGTTTTTTAAAAATATCTTAAAATAATGCTGTTAATAGATTATCCCATGTTTCGTCAACTGTTTTCTCTAATTCATGTTGTGACCTTGACTTTTTAAAAAGCTTTCTGCTTGATAATGTTTCATTCTAATTAAATAGTATTAATAACAGAACTATAATCCGAGCAATGATATAGTTTAAGATAAAAACCATTCATAGGATTGTTGAAACTGAGTGGTTATATCACGATTCAACTTTTGTATCAACATCGTTCAACTTTTTATTAAATGTTTTTTTGTATTCCAAGAATCTACTTTTATTTTACTCATAAATATATGCGTAAACTTGGCCAACCCTTAAACGTGCTATTTTATATCAAAAATTATAATTTCCAATAATGTTCTCGTTTACACCCAATTAACGTTTATTTGAAAAATCAATGCAATCGTTCCTCAATAGAAACAGAATGAAATATAGAATGATAGAATATCTAGGTGAGTCTATCAAAATAGAGTGTGGGTCAATGTCTTCCATTCGCTTACACTCCACACCCACACCTCCGAGAAAAAAATCGTCTGTTCTGCTTTGAAGAAATGTGCTATAGACAGCAAGAAACAGTCTTCTTTGTCTGACTGGTCCAAGCGACGAGTTCGGCGGGTATTGTTTGTTGCAATCCTAAATAGCGATATTCATCAAATGAATACACAGAAAATGTCGCACTATCCAAGTGTTTTACCTACTGAATTAATCGAAAAGATTCTTGATCGTGCCTCCCTCGGTGATATTCTTTTGTCGATGTGTTTTGTCAACAGACGTCTTTATTCTATCTCTCTTGTCTATTCTTGTTTTCAATTCGATTTTGTCTGTAATCATTTACCTAATCTGGCAGCTCGCATCGTCTCATTGATCTTTGACAATGAGTTTAACAGAATAACAAGAGCAAAAACCATCCGTTTTTTTTCTTCGATTACTATGCATAACACTTTTCTGAATTTACATTCGATTACTCTCGATGAGATCGATTCGAATGTTTGGAACTTGATTCGAATTCGACTTCCAGTATTCATAGCATTAAGATCAATGTGCATCCGTGATGTTTATGATTCAAACGGATCGACACCCAGCGTTAATGTCGCTCATTTTTCATGATTTTTTTATTCACTGTACGATCATTAAAACAACTTTTCCTCAATACATTGTTTTGTCGGTCTGAAACAATAAACATTTCATCATCTTATTCAATGCAATCAACTACTATTGAGTGTCTAACAGTAACAGGTATTCTGACTAACTTGCATCAAATTTTTTCTTATTGCACCAATGTTACGTCAACTCAACGTAGCATTAATTATTAGTCAATTTTTTCACGTCGACATCATTTTTCAACAATCTTTCAATTTACAAGAATTATTGATCAGAACCAATCATATAACTATGCTCGAGATTAAATGCTTGCTCTCGTCGATGACTTGTCTTACTCTTCATATCTCTGACGTGACAAGTGATATGATTAATGTCAATGCATGGATACCATTGTTGGCTAGAATAATCTTATTTCAGTTTCTATTTAGAATTTTAAATAGAAACGATGTCAATCTTGAATCTTGTCGCACTCGATTCTGGCTTGAAGAGAAGAAATGGTATGTCACATTTGATCAATGGATTGATACTACTTATTCGTTTCTTTATACGAATCCATGCTTTACAATCTATTATCATTAATCAAGATTTATGGAAAAAACATTGGTGACTAAATCAACTGGACTAGAGCCGACGACATTTCCACATGCTAAAGATTTGGTTTTTGACAGTCATTTACCGATGAAAAAAAATACATTTAGACCGGTTCACTCATACCCGTACGTTAATCGTGAAAGAAGATCTTGACATATCATTTGAATACATTATTCGTTGTATTGATTTCTCATGGATCACTACTTTCATTGAATACGAATTGAACAGAGAAAAGTAAAGCAAAGAATTTGTACAAATTCTTGATAATCTTCCACGTCTACGTTCTCTTTGCTTGAATATCTCATCCCTCATCGTGTTCTTTGATCAACATTGGCCACAAATCATTGAACTTACCATGAACAGCAATTCTTGTGATTCATGTAAATCATTATCATCAATCGAAATCGATGTATTTAGGTATTCCTTCATTCAACTGAAGCGATTACCATTTGATCGTCAATGTATTCGAAAACTTTCAAGATTATTAAACAACATGACTATGACATTATCAGACATATGGATTCGTCATCATGATAATCTCGATGATTCGAATCCCCCATTGATTACACGCCATTGGCTTGAACAGAATACAGACCTATGCAACTTTGACTATTTTTATGATAATAAATGGGATGTTCATTTATGGTTCTAATTTTATACATATTTTTTGTTTTATACTGAAAATTGTTGTGTAAGATTTTCATCAAATTGTAATAAACAGAAGGCATCTTTTTCGACAACAACAATTTGAATAAAATTCGTTTATATATTCCTTATAAAAATTATTACGTTTTAATTTTTTGACCATCCATTTCGTTTGTGTAGGCAATTTGCTTAATAAACCAATTGTTTATATTGAATTGGAATGAGTTACATCTAGTAGTATTAGATTCGGTGAAATTGATAGTAGTTTGGAATAAAGTACCATATCTGATTAAACAAAACTTTACGTAATATTTGGAAGTAATGTATCAGCGAGTATAATCAATAATGAGAGTTTACTATGATTATCATGCTGATCCAGATAGAGTACTGACTGGCTTGTTTTTTAGCCAATGTACTCTCATTTTAGGACGCAACACACTAGCGATCATTGCTAGATAATCTTTAGTTACGGCTGTAGTCAGTAGTGAACAAGCTGATGAATACAATATCTCCATTGAACAAATAAAAGATCTTAGATATAGTAAATTAGTCTTTAAAATCTCATGTAATCCAACAGCAACACATTTGTCAATACAATTAATAACTAATTTGAGTGACTTTAATTACTTTTTGAATAGAAATGTACTTAACAATGGTTGCTAATTAAACTGATCTATAGATAAATTTATTTCTGCTGCATTACACATAATTTCAAATAAATAATAGATATCATTGGTAGTCTTTAAATTTTCCAACGTTAATTTTTTATTCTTGGTAAATGTAAATTAAAGCCTTTTACGGTATGTATATCATGAAGGTAATAGGTGCTAGTGATAGTGTTATATCACCACTCAATTTTAAATGAAGACTACTAAATGATAGAAACTGTTTTAAGTATAGACATTAAAAAGTTCATTCGTTTTAGTAGTTTGTCATTCTCTTGAAAAAAGTTCCGGTGATGTGCACATTTTACGATTAAATAATGAATGTGATGGCCGGGAATAGGAAGCATTTACTGATAAAAATGAGAAAATAATTTGTATGACAGATCACTTACATTAATAATCGCCGCAAAAGATTTAATTAGTTTTTAAAAACATAAATTTAGATTACTGAATGAATAAGGTACATCGTATTGATGCAAATAAGTAAAAGTTAATAGCAATAACTCGTTGGATAACCGTTTTATATCGTAAAAGATAATGAAATTCTTACTTCTATGTAGTCGAAAGAAAGTTTGTATTCAATCAATTGATAGTAACTCGTCGATACACTCCAGAAATTATCATTATTATTCTGAAGCAGTATTGTAGATATGCATATATATATTCTTCTTAATATCATCATTCTTAGTTGAACATTTGAAGTGATATTTCTGATTAAGTGAACAACTTGTTTCATTGAGCGAATCCTGTTTATCTTTACCATAATAAATGTCATCTCGGTAATGTGGTATGTTCAGCACTGTTCGATCTTTCAAAATGCAAATACGCATAAGCTCTATCAAATTATAACGCCAATTCGCTTTAGAAATGAAAATGCGATTGAGGGTGTGAGTGGGGGCATCTTCTCTTCATTCACATGTACAGTCACACCCACTCTAAGAGAGAATATAATGATTTTAAAGTAAATCAATAACGTTATTACATACATGAGAAACAAACTGATATTTATTTTTTTATTAGCGAACTTTTCTGTTCTTTTATAAGTGTTTTTCTCTTGGATGTGGGTCTTCAGTTCATGAAAATGAGAAAACTTTTTGTTAAGTGTCACAAATTTTTGCTTTTTTCATAGGAATAATCAAAATAAATTCTATTATTTTGTTTTTTGATCCTACTAAGGAATTTTGAGTTGTTCTAAATTAAGAAAAAATTCATGACCATTACGTGAAGATAATTTTTATTTATTACCGAAAAGAATAAATGGAAACTTTCTCGATTATCAAATCCGTTGCAAAAAGGCAAGTGTTTCATACTTAAGAGTTCGAAATATTGCAATTATTGACTGTTAAATAAACTAATTCCAAATATTGACTAAATACGAATCAATCTTATTTTATGTAAAAAGCTTCTTTCCATTTCTTCACCCTTTCGTGGCTCTGTAAGGATTCCCACCAAATTTCATATTTTTCAAATGACTCACTTGGGATTTGACAGAGGAGAGTCGAATAGAACAGTTTTGACGACTCATGAAAAAATATCTATCCAAGTGTTTGTAACTAACACAAAATTAAGATTATAAATGCGTCGTTAAATTTTCATTAGTTACACTCAAATCTCTAATGTAATTCCGGGCAAAATGATGGCAGATGGGAGCCATGATTTACTATAATTATGTTTCAGACTAGATAACGTTGCAATCTCTTATACAGAATGCAGGAACAAACTACTTTATTTCATATTTACTATATACTTTGTTAGAAAAACATATTGTAGATCAACGTATGTGGAGGAAAAAAACAGAACTTTTAATAAATATTGTATTCATATTGTGTCTCGAAAGAGTTAGACGATGTTGTTCATCATTTATGTATTCTATTTCATTGTATTAAATAAAATAGTTGCATTTCCTCAAATTAATCTTGATCTCACCGATGGAATAAATGACAACGAAAGTAATATTGTTCTACAACATAATTGTCTTCATGTTGCTGCTTGGATTGATGAAGAAAATGATCCTTATCAAATTATTTCTTATTGTATGAGTGAATGGTCCTCAAAATGGAATATTCGAACAACTTATCAAGATCAAAACTTTACTTTTGCTGAACTCTACAAGCTAAATATTACTAGTGAACAATTATATCTTTGGTCGGCACCAATGGATGTTGTTGAACATTATCAATTTTATTTAAATCTACTGTTAACGTCAAACATATTATCGTCATCAATGGCAACACATATGTTCTATAATTGTACATCATTCAGATTTGGTCCATTGTGTCAATATTCATTAGATGCTTACAACTCTCATCATTTAACGTTAAACGAGATTATTCACGAATTTTATCGACACGAATATAAACCAACAACATTAACATGTTACACTCATTTACAATGCAATCGTGGTTCAATATTTGCATGTCTGGACTGGAGTGAAATATGTGATGGTATCGTCGATTGTCAAAATGGAGTCGATGAAGAATCTTGTTGGCAAATGGAAATAAATGAATGTGAAGATAATGAAGATCGATGCCTAAATGGACAATGCATACCTAAAACATTTTTTCATGATGATCCTAATGTTTTTGAATGTCTCGATCGATCAGACGAAAGGTTGTTTCAGCAACTATTATTTACAGATATTAGTGGTGAGCCTACATTTACAAAGGAAGATATTACATGTTCTAGACGTCATTCAATTTTCAATGTGAAGCTAACAAGTTCATGTGTGTTGACACGCACCAAATTACTAGAACTGTTCATGTTCTCTGAAAAACCAAACACAGTATCGAATGATTGTTGGTTAGCTGTTACGTGTCAGTTGGCTATTCAACATATATTATCTGATTTAAGATGTCGTGATCTTTCTTTCAAAAAAACGTGGACAGAAATAATTAACACGACATGTCCCGATATGCTGTACGTGCCAGCTAGTCCCGTTGCTTTTGGACATATGTACTTTCTATATACAAAAGAAAATATGTTAAGATCTTATGTGAGAGTACCACCACCTCAATATGTCTGTTACAATGATAAACTTTGCAGTGGATTCCATTCGAATCAATCATTATTATCATTCAATAATGGTATATGTCGTCGTCCCATAGATTTTCCATTAATTTTTAAGTCGTTCGGATCCAATAGAGGCAACTGGAACAGTATCTATGTCTTACCTCTATATGAACAACTTTATCGATGCAACACAGTCGTTCACAGTGGTTCTACAGATTGTAACAATTTGAACATGTATAGATGCGTCAATTCTTCAAAATGTATTTCTAAGCATCGCCTTTGTGATGGTATGAACGATTGCGATTATAAAGATGACGAACAATGTTCTTCAGTTAATGATTCTTGTTCAAAATATGAATTAAAAAACCTTTTCAAATGTACTACAAGAGATCTTTGTATTCATTGGACATCGATTGAAAATGGTTGGTGCGATTGTGGATATAATGAATACGGTTTCTGTGAGGATGAAGAACTAAATATTCACTATATCAAAAAACATATCTCATTTCCAATAATTTGTGATGGTTTTACAGAACTAATACCTGTTATTATAGATGGACGAAATGAAACCGATGAAACTGAATGTGAATATTGGCAGTGTAATAACACTTATACTCGATGTAATGGATTTTGGAATTGTCTGAATGGAGCAGATGAAGTCGATTGTGATCAATCACCTATTTTGAAATGTCCGCTTCATCATCACATCTGTGTCTCACCTGACACATACCAATTTATGTGTTTGCCTCTTACACAAGCCAATGATGGAAATATTGATTGTCTTGGTGCTACTGATGAACCACAACTCTGTCGATCGAATAATCATGAACTGAGCAATGTTAACTTTCATTGCACCACTGGTGAATATGAACATTGTACATCTTATGTATCTGTATGTTTCAATAGACAATGTACTTACAAAGATTATGATAAAATTTGTGACAATACTCTGAACAACAATAACTACTGTACTATACGTAATGACAAATATATAACTGTTCGTTCTGATATTGCAAATTTCTTTTGTAAACGTCCAATCGATTTTGATAAATCACCCTATATATATTTTTCATTGGATAGAATTAACAACTCAATCGAACAAATAACGAAAAAAAACACAAAAATAATAAATTCATCTATTACTCAACAAAGCGTTATTCAACATCAACAACATTGTCATCGTGGTCTTGTTGTTAGAGTTTGGCTAGATTATGAGGAGAACTTAACGACTGAAACATGTCTTTGTCCATCTAGTTACTATGGAGATATGTGTCAATATCAAAATCAACGTATTAGTCTCACGTTACAATTTCAAGCATATTCAGATTCTCGACGAACTCTATTTGCTGTTGTTGTCTCACTTATTGATGATAGTGATGAACGACTCATTCATTCACATCAACAATTCAGTTATTTGTACGTACGAGATTGTAAAGTTAAATTCAATATGTATTTACTATACTCAACTCGACCAAAAGATCAGAAAAAACATTATTCAATACATATTGATATCTATGAAAAAGTATCACTCGCATATCGACGAAGTTTTTTCATAGCACTTCAATTTCCTTTTCTACCTGTACATCGTGTCGCTGTACAACTCAATATACCACGCACAACTGATGATGTAGAACGTTGCTCAAATCAACCATGTGTTCATGGTCAATGTATTAAATATTCTGATAATCCGAAAGGTATTACCTTTTGTCAATGTTATCAAGGATGGTCTGGACGATATTGTACTATCCCACATAACTGCACATGTTCGTCTGACTCATTATGTATTGGTATCTTAGCAAACAACCGATCTTTATGTGTTTGTCCTATGAATAAGTGGGGCTCTCGATGTTTATTACGAAGTACAATATGTCATTCTAATCAAAATATCACATGTTACAATGGTGGTCAATGTATGCCTACAGATGAGCATGTAGTATCGAACAAGAAATTCAAATGTATCTGTCAAAAAGGTTTCACTGGAGACAGATGTGAAATAGCTGATAATAAAATTATTCTATCATTTCATCGAGATATCATTTTATCAGATTCATTTCTTGTTCATTTCATTCAAGTAATTGATAATGCTCCACCTACAAATGGCAGTACTTTCAAAATGATTTCTATTAATCAAAAGACAATGATCATTCATTGGTCATATCCATTTCACATTGCTTTTATTCAACTTTTCAATAAAAATTACTACTTAATTACTATTCAAAAGAAATATCATCAATCGACAACTCTTGTTCGAGAAATTCAACCATCAGATCGTTGTCCACATCTAAATGAAGTATTGAATGAAACAATTGTTAAATTTCATCTTCTTCGTCGTATTAAATATTATCATTTGCCATGTCAAGGACATTCACCACAATTGTCTTGTTTTTATGATGATAATCATTTTTGTTTATGTAACAATTATGGACAACAACGTGTAGCTAACTGTTTTGAATTTAATTGTATAAAGAAATTCGATTGTTTTGGTCAAAGTAACTGTGAAAATGGAGCACAATGTTTACAAGATAGATCTACATGTCCACAAACGTCGGCATGTGTTTGTCTGACATGTTTTTATGGAAGACGCTGTCAATTTAGTTCAAATGGATTTGGTCTTTCACTTGATGCAATTTTAGGTTATCACATTCAACCACATATTGCCATTGGACATCAAACTTTTGTTGTAAAATTAAGTCTAGTATTGACGATTATTATGACTGTAGTAGGATTGATTAATAGTGCTCTACTGATGATTACAATGAATAATAATCAATCACGTAAAAGTGGTTGTGGTATTTATCTAATAAGTACATCGATTACTAGTCTATTTACAATGATTATGTTTGCATTGAAATTTTCAATACTTATCATTGCACAAATGACATATAGTATTAATCATTTATTTTTACAAATACAATGTACTTCAATAGATTTTTTACTAAGAATCGGTCTTAATATGGATCAATGGTTGTCTGCATGCATAGCTATAGAACGAACAGTTATCGCAATAAAAGGAATCAGTTTTGATAAGAAGAAAAGTAAACAAATAGCTAAATATATTATTCTTATTCTTCTAATTTTAAATATTAGTACGACTATTCATGATCCTATTCATCGACATTTAATAGATGATGATAATGATGATGATAATGAGAAAAGAATTTGGTGTATTGTTACTTATTCATCTAGTTTTCAAACGTTTAATACAGTGGTGAATATATTTCATTTTTTGACTCCATCTATTATTAATTTGATTTCGGGTTTGATCATTATTAAAATTACTAGTCGACAGCGACAAGTTGTTCGACCTCATCAAAGCTATCAAAATGTGTTACATCAACAATTTCAAATACACATTCATCTACTGATTACTCCGATTGTTTTCGTGATGTTAGCTATTCCACGTTTGATTATTTCTCTCATATCACGTTGTATGAAATCAATTAATGATTCATGGTTATTTTTGATTGGATATTTTATTTCATTTATACCATCTATGCTTACTTTCGTTATCTTTGTTCTACCATCAAAATCATACAAACAAGACTTCATGAAGACTTATCAACGACATAAAAATGCAATACAAGCACGATTACATCTTGTTTCATAGATATTTAGAAGAAAACTATAACGATTCCTTCACCTTATCCAGAGAATAAAATAAACTATGAAATAGATGTGTAAATTCAAGAGTATCATTTTAGTGTTATAAAACATACCAATTTACATGATGTTTGAATATGTATAAACTGTCGCAGCTGTTCAGAAAAAATACCTAATTATTTAAGAGAGCTTTCATGACTCGATCGAGTATCACTCTAATATATGAAGCACGCGATAAAATTTGTTTTTCAAGCGCTTTGTACACCTATTCAACATAGCAATGTCTAAAACGATCAACTCTAAAATTCTAGGTCTTAATACCCTTCCTATAAAAAGTTAGCCAATACCACATTTTAGCATTATAACACCTTTTTGAAGAAAAAACAAGAAAAAGGATGTGGGTATTTGTGTGGATTTAATACTTTGTCAACACATCCACACCCACCCCTTCATATATTTTATATTGTATAGACGTTACCCTCATTACTCAAGCAAGGCTTCCAATTTTCCTTTTACAGGGGATACTACTGTTATTAGCACTGATATTCCATATAATCTCTCAGAAATCTTTAGCGTTCGGTAGTGACGGTTTTCTCAGTGCATCCGTGCGAGAGTCTTCAACGTGTTCCTACAACCCGATACTAGTCTATTACTTTGCTCAACTAGAAAAATTGAAAAAAAAAAGATGCTCGTATCAGTAGAAAACAACGAAGCTGATGCAGCAATTATCTTCAATATATGACAGAAACAAAATAAAAACATTCATACCATTGTCTCTGCATTTGTCAAACGCGATTCTATTACAACCATACCCATAGAAAATAATGTGACATGTATCGTAAAACATGATACATCGTGCATAGCATTCCGATGGAACATATGTATGAACGATAGACAACGTCAGTTTTGTTGTGACACATTTGACACATTCATAAAGTGTGAAATGAACTGGATCTCGTATATAGGTACTCGATATGGATCTTTTTATTATAAAGTTTTTACACGGGGAAGTTCCGGAGATTTAAATATAACTCTACCTGGTTTCTTCCAACTAAAAACAGTCTACTATTAGTGCCTTGTAAAACTGCTTACTAATCATTCAATTTGTTAATAAAAAATCAAGATCCGTCGTTTATCAAGCTCTTGAATTTATGTTCCTTGAAAGGGATTCATCATTTCCTAGGGCAGCTTTTATTGACAAAAGAAGACAGTTTCTACATCGAATAAAATTTTAAATGGCCAAAGACATTTTGGAAAATTGTCAGATGGTGACCTCAAATCCCGAAAGCTTGTTCACGATCTTTATTATTTAATGACAAAAATTAGCGCAATATCAAAATCAAGTATAAAAAATATGCAGTAAAATATTCTTTCATTATATATGCGAACGAATAGAAACAAATTTATAGGATTGTTTGTTTTGATCGATGATCAATTGATGTGTATAATAATCGATTAATCACTCTCGATGTGATGCAGAAATGTATGATATATCTAAACCAGATAAATATGAATAGATTCGTCGTTCTATTTATTCATCACAACCAGATGTTATTTCATCAAAAACGAAACAATTTATCGTTTTTGTATTCAATACTAATAATGCACTAGCAATTATTAAACGTTGTTATTCACCGATTGAAAGAATATGTGACCATGAATGCTCAGATAAATCAAGTGAATAACGATCTATAAGATATACAAGATCAACAATCAGCAAGATATTACGAATTTTTATATCATCGTATATGAGATTTTCGAAACCTTTTGATTGAGACAAGTACGATAATTGTTGACGTAATGTACTCTCAATTAAATGTAGTCATTGAGGAAGAAAAATAGTTGAATCACATGAAAGGAATTGACTGCATGAATCAGAAGTGGATGATAGATTATGTTGTAATCCAGAAATTAAGCGTAAAAGACTAGATTTTCCGCATCCACTTGGTCCACTTATAAATAGAGTAGATTTTATTTGCAAAGAAAATGTTAATGAACGAATGAAGACATTCTGTGCAATGATATTTGAAGGAAGGCGTATATCAATATTTCGAAGTATTATAACTTGATTAGTCGGTATTTGAATTATCCATATGTTTACTAGTATTTAATTCATTAGGTCGTTCATGACTATGAATGTCGATTGTGGTCTTAAGCTGTTCTGAAAATTATAGAAACTGTAAAAGATATATACAAATGAATTATATACTTACCAACATTTTCTACTATCCGCAATCCAACAGTCCACAATTGAGATAATGATTGTCCATAAAAATTCATAGTGGTAAGAGTGTTGTTCAAATATTCATTAAATACACTCATTGTTAAAATTGCACCGACTTGAGAAGCAGTTATATTTTTGGTTAAATGAAAATAAATAATTGCAGGAATACAATAAATAATAATGGTTGCTGCCCAGTTTCCTAAGACACTAACTCCAACTAGAGTAAACCATAGAAATAACCAGCATGTCGTTGAGAGTTTACTGACGAATCTAATGGAGATCTTAAATATTTTTCTTCAACATGGAGAACACTTTCATCTGACAAGACAATCTGTTCCGCTTCCCAGTCAGACAAGACTCTTAAAAAAACGCGTTAAAACACGTTAGAATTTCGTTAAAACGGCGTTTTAACGATAGTGCACCGTTAATACGGCGTTTTTACGATTTCTTGAACGCGTTACCACATCTAAACATTAAAATATGTAGATTTTTCTGTGGATTTGCGCGTTTTTACCCGTTTACAACTAGTATTTTACGCGTTTTTTCACCTACTTTTCTTAACGGATTTTCTTGAGTATAACATTCACTCGTTAATTCTGCTTTTTTCTGAAGTAATTAAGCACATTTTAGCTGGTTTTTGTATTGATGAGATTGAAAGCTTCTGCTTATGTCACTTCAACAAGTGGCAATTATATACTATGAAATGCAAAAATGCCAGTATAATTCTTTTTTCTAAAAAAATAACCTGCTAGAAAACTGATCACTCAAATATATGATATGTTATGAATTATTTACACATGGGTTGTTTTTATCTTTTTTTTGTCTGTGCACAAGTGTTCAAAGCAGCTTTTAAATTAGTTATTTTAGATGATAAATGTTTGTTTTGCTTTTCTAATTCTCGATATTTATCTGAACCTAGAATATTCGCCGTATGTATTCAAAACAACAGTGTTTGTTGATGGTCGATTTTCACGTGTTTGAATATTTCTATCACGTAATCGAATAACTGAGCGGTCAATGTCAAAACTAAAGAAATAAGAAAACTTGACGATGATGACCGCACTTGAGGAAAAAGCATTTAAAGCTGTTTGTATTTTGACTAAAATTATCATGAATAGGACTACTATCGACAATCGGTGTGCTAAATGTAATTCTACTGAAACAAATATTGATTTTGAAATTAAAATAAATACCATAGAATACTATTGTGACTTTGGCTTTTTGAAATATAATGTATTTTGTTTTTATCAAAATTAGTTTCGGATGAAGAGTTATTACTGTAAAGAGAAACAATTTTGAATATTTTCATTTGATCCTTTTTCGAAATGATATTTTTCTATTGATAATAGTATATTAAAATTGAAAATAGTACGCGCTCATGCATGAAGATGATATTACATAGTATGTGTAATTCATAATGTTACTATCCAAATTTTAAATACAATTTTTAAAATTTTATCTGTGTGAATTTCTAATTAAATATGAGTAAAATATGAATAAAATATTCACTTTTCAGGAGATAAAAATTACTGAGTTCAGTATAGATATCTTGCTCGAGCTAAGGGAATAACTTATAAAGCATTCTATTATTTATTAATTGGTGATGATTTTTATTTTACAATATGAAAAAACTGTATACTAATGAGTATATTGGACAACACATGTAGTTATAATTTCTAACAGTGAATATGCGTACAATTAGTTTACAAATCTATCAGTTGCATTTCTACTGATATAAATGATGAAAAACAATTGAAAACACTTTAGTCAAAATTAGGATAAGCGAGCTATCTCGAGTTTAACGATTTGTAACTCTTAGGAGTTTTTATTACTCCAACAACAACATGATTCATCATTCTATGAAAAAATATTTAAAAAAAAACGATCTCTAATCATATATTGATATAGGCTAGTATTTATTTGAGCAATAAAAATATTGGAATGAGCCATAATTAAGATATGGTATAGCAATAATTTTTGAGCAATAAGAAAACTATCTTTGAGCAATTTTATAACATTAAATGTTCAATAATTAATTGATTAAACAGCAGTAGTAATTTCATATTTTAGTAACAACAAAAAGGAAAAGTAAGATATTTTTATTTACAATTGATAATAAAAAAAGAAAAATTAATATATTATTGTGTCAATAAAGCTTTTCTTGCTTCAGCTGGCCTCTCTCCTTTTCTTTTAGTATCAATATCCACGTCTTTTGACTACGGTGGGAGTTTGCACCATTACCTTCACCCTGTTATCAAGAGACTAGCTCCATATCATTGTCACTTTCACTATCAGAAATATGCTGCGCTACGCGTTGTGATTGAACCATTTATATAAATTATATATTTTATTTTATAAGATGGAAAAAAATACGTATTTGTATAAATAAATTCTTAACATAAGAGTTTTCTCATTCACTATTGGAATTGTCCTATTAATCATCTTGAGAATTTTCTTATGATTATCTTACACAATATATGGGATTTTTCCAACACTTTTGATCTTTATGTAACACATATCAATGTTCTCTTCTCTGGAAAATCAGATATTAAATTCTATTGTCTTCTCAACCTCATTGTTTTTTTCTACGTTTTTTCTCATATACCACTTTTCAAGTGTGTACGAAATAACTCGAACGCACGTAAATACATAACAACAAAAACCATACAATCTATACAAATGAATTTGTATTGCCCTTTTTATGTTAAATTTATCTTTAATTTAAATAAACTATTGCTCATTTCAGTATAATTATTGCTCATATTAATTATTTTATTGCTCAATTAAATATAAGTCATTCATTAATGGTTGAAAAAAGTTGTCTGAATAGGTACTTTTGTAAAGCAAGAAAAAAGCTGCTTTCAGTAAAAGTTTTTTGTTATCCGACAAAGAAATGAAATTATCATGTACAGAAGTTTTACAAGCTTTGCTTAATTGTTAAAAAAATAGGAAAATCTTAAAATAAAATCTGATCTATAAATGCAATTGTTGTGAATTTGATCAAGTCAAAACAATATACTCTTGATTATTGATTCAATCCTTGATTTAAATTGATCAGTAGATTATTCCAGAGATATCCACGATTATTTGTCAGATCGTTGTTGAGAACGTTGTTCTGCTTCTTGCTTGATCATTATGTGTTGAACATGTATTGGTAGACCGGGATTGAGACTCAAAGCATAGGACAATAATGTTTTGGGTATATCTTCAAAATCAACCATAATTTTGATGAACATTGTATCGTCTCGTACATATGGATTTCCTTCTCGTTGAATATTTTCCAAGGGGAAAAATTTTGGTAAGCCACTAGCTGTGTTCATATCTGATCGAGGTCGTTGAAAACTATTTGATCGAATGTCTGGTCGAAATGAATCAATAATGTGTCGTTGTGCAGATGTCTGATCATACAAACAAAATGTAACTTTATAGTTGAACGGATATTTTAGAATCGGATCGTTTAAACCTCGCATGAGCACAAAAAAGAGTGACATATGTGTATGACGAGCATTTCCATCGCCATTTAAATATAAACGAACTCTCATTTTATAACCAGTTGGAGATGAATAAAATGGTGGGGAATAAATTGATGTTTGTCTTTCAGATTGTGCATCAACTAGAAAATCAACAAAAAAAATCAAATCTTATTTTTTCGAAACAACATTTTATTTTTATAGTTCAATGTAAGAGTAAGTATTTAACATACGCAATTTTTCTTGAAAATTTGTAATTTTCCATACAAATGTTCCATCATATGAAACATATTTCAAATCATTTATTTTTTCTTGCAATGATGCTAAATCTTCATTGAGAATATCTTGATTATGTTTCACTCCTTGTAAAAAAGCATTTGTTTCTTCAACAGATAATTTAATATTCGATAATTGTTCTGCTAAGACTGGATGTGTTATTTGAAGTTGAAGTAATTCATTCATTAGATGTTCTTGATCCTTGTTCAATGTTTCGATACCATCTGTTAAGATATGTAGCATTTCATAAAGTTCTTGTAATTGAACTGTGACAGGATTAGAAGCTTCTACAGCTGTTGTTCGAGGAAGATCAATATCCATTTGTGTATCGTTTAATTGTGAAGACATTCGACGAACAACTTTGAGTATAGAATGTTGATGTTTTTCAGTTAAATAATGTTCTGTCATTTTGGCACGGATAATCTTAAGAATAAGAATTTTTATATATGTCACTTTCACTCAAAAGAATATCGATACTTGTTCATTACAACCAAAATTTTTCAATATACAATCAACAATTAGTTGTTGACATTGGGAAATTTTATGTTCATTGTATTTGTTAACTGAATTGAATTGTTTGTCACAAAATACACATTTCGGATTTGAATGATATTGATCAAGATGTTTCTTTGAAAGAGAATAATAGATGAAGATTCAGGAATAAAATTAATATAAAATCAATTACTTGATAATTATTTAAGACATCAGTCCATTGGCAAAAAGAACAATCAATCGATAGTAATTTCATGTCATTTTTGAAGCCACGATCAAGCATTATCTACATAAAAGAAATGTCATTTTTCTTCCATTATCAGTAGATATCTTACCTCGATTCGTAATGTTTCTGATCTACATTGTGGACATTTAATGGTTGTTCTTTAAAAACAGAAGAATAATGATGCTATAAGTTCATAATAATAAAACTTACTCCTGTTGAATGTCAAAACATGATTGACACTGTCGATGTCCACACTTTCCCAATTGTACAGGATCTCGCAGTATCAATGAACACACAGGACAAATATATTTCGTATCAAGAATATGTTTATTTCTTGCATCGATACCGACCATTAGTATATTATAATTAATATGGAACGAAGGTTCAATGTTACGTAGATGTAAAATTAGATTTTTTGTTAAGTAAATAAATGAAAATATAATTTTTTGAAATAGAAAAAAGGTAATAAATAATATATCTAGAATATAAACATTAGTAGGAAAATATTATAAAGATTTCAAATTTTCAAAATAAAAAACATTGAGAAGCTCAAATGAGACCGATTCATTGGTAAAAATTTCGATTTTATATGAATCATTATTGATCAAAGTCATTTGAAAAACCAATAGGTCCATCAATGCTTTTTTCTAAATTCGATTGATTTATATAGGCTCCTTCAATCTATGACAATGATTTATTGTCTGACGTATTTCATAATAATATTAGTACGAGTGGAAATTTTTTCATTTATTTCAAAGAATGATTGATCGATTCATTTATTTCGATATCTACGCATGATATTGCGTCATTGGGATATATACTAAGCTTCAGGTATATCCCAATATCTACCATGAGAAAGCAATCATGCGAATATTTTTGTATTAGATAATGATAAAGAATATTTACGTCATTGTTACTAAAGAGAAAGATAGAATGGACAAATATTATAAATACATGTAATTAATTAATTGTTATTAGTCATTTTTGTCATAAACATCATATGAATATTAGTCGATGATGTTAAAATGCTTCACTATCGAATAAATTTCATAAAGAAACTATTCGAAAAGTTTTCTATTTAAATGACAATAAAGGTTTTTCAAAAAAGAAAAAGATTGATTCTTAGAAATGGGAACTCAGCAAGGTTTTTTTTTCCAAATGATGAAATTTGGGTATTTCGTTTGAAAAACCCAACAAGGAAGAGAACGTAACAACGATTTGAGAGATTGCGATTTATTTGCATTAGTATTATTGAATACTGATGCTGGTGGAAACAAGTATTAAATTTTTTTTAAACACTAATACAAAGCATTAAAATAAACTTTTAGTCCTAATATGAAAATATTAGCGTTTTTTAAATACTAATGCTAAGCTGACACTCGTAGTGATACTACAGTTTCAATTGTTTTACGCTTTTTTTTGTTAACTTAAATAAACAAAATACTTTTTGAATACAAAAACGCATTACATTCATGAGACTAGAACAGCAAGGTATTTCGCGTCTAATCGCAGACGCTTACTAAACGTCTTTTTCTCGGTTTTCTTAAAAATGGTTTGGTTAAAATAAAGTATACATCTAAAGACTATTCTTTGGATTCAGGACGCGTCTTAACTAGAGATGCACCAAGTCCATAATTTGGGTTTAGTATGAGTGTGTAGGTGTGGGGTGTGAATGCGGTTCAATAGGAGATGAACATACCAACACTCAAAGTCACACCCTGCAGTTATATTGTGATTACAACGCGACCATGACTCGCCTCAGTCTTAAACTTTATATTCATTTTGCCAGACTACAAAAATACCGTACAAGAGCCGCGATAGTCTTAATTTGAACGAAAATGACTTCTCTACCATAGATGAATTTTCTTTTACTGTTTCTTTCCACAAGATATATGTTACGTACCGATTTGTAGTACTTAATGCATAGAAACTCTAGTAATCATGCAAGAATTGAAATAAACTATATTTTCTGAGAAACAATAAACTTCAAAGTCTTGTTCAAAAGGTTTGAATCTTGAGACTATGATAATTGAATATGCCAGAGTCTCTTCGTTTAGTTTACTTTATATTTCATTAAATCATCGATCGTCAGCTTTTGAGTCCTTAATTCATTTTGTAGTTAATCACAAAGAAAAAGATTTTTGGAATTATATTTTAATAGTTTTTTTCTTATGAAAAATAATGCAAAACTTGACAAAGAATGCATGATGTATACATTTTTTGATTGATTTCTAGCGTCATCTGTTAAAATTGTTTTGTAAAAGGAAAAAAAGTAATTTGTACATTGTTCTATCCGTATTTTTTCGTTGATTCAAGCAGTATCGTATTACTGATCGAGCACCGTTGCCAAGACTAACTTTACAAGAGAGAAAAAATAAAATAAAATAAAAGAATAACTGACAATTACAAAAAATGCATAGATCTAAAACACAAATCTACAACATATTTTAAGTTGTTTTCTTTTTTTTTTCAAGTGAGTCTATCTTTTTACTTTGCAGATTGAAAATAAATATAATTATTGATTTGATTATTCTATGAAATTCTATCACATTGAATCAATGAATTATCTTTAATACGAATATAAAATACAACAAATGATAGAGGTATATTAATTATATTACTTTTTCTTCTTTCATTTATTATGCATGTAAAATAATTATTTTGTGAAATGGCATCTTCGCCTTTGATGAATTATATTGATTCTATTTTATATATTACAAAGAACAATCAGGATTTTCAATGATTGTATTTGATTTTTAATGAGAGAGATGAGTGTGCAGTAGTGATAAGTCTTGTTCATTTTTTGTGAACTGTTATACCTCTCAAGTCAACCATTACGGATCAACTTCAATTACCGTAAATGGTCGTTAATGTACTGTAAAGATGTCGTAATATTGCTGTATTGTATCTCATTGTAACTAACAATATGCGGCTCGTATTCATCGACTAGGGCTGTGCTTTATCATTGTCGACAATACATTGAGTTATATATACAATCTGTCAAACTGTATGACAAGCCAATTATTGTCTTTGTAGATACAAATAAACATACTGGAAAAACAAATCAATCAAATGGATAAAGAGTCTCAAAAAGAAAAGAAAATGAATAACTTTAAAACAGATCAAGATTTTCGAAGTTATTTTAATCTTATTATCTATAGCCAACAATTTTTAGATATTGTTTTCTGTCACATGTCTCCTAATCCATTCGATCGATAATCTCTATCTAAGCTAATAGATAGAACTTATAGGGTAGATAGAAATTCAAAAAGGATTCGTGCCATTAAATCTTTCTTCTCGAATTATGATCATTTTACTAGATATTCAGTTGATTTCAGAATAACACGATAAAAATCTCAATAAGAAGTTTCGATGTGAAATTCTACAATATCTTACCAATAGATGATCATAACTTGAAAAGAAAGACCTAATGATACGAAGCATGGTTGAATTTTTACCTTCACTATGAGTTCTACCTATGAGTGGAAATAGATTTCATAGTTATTCATTAGACTAGACTGATAATTTGATTCTAAAAAACATCAATAAAATATTTTATACAATCACGATCATTTTTTTCTTTTTGAAGAACATGTTCTTCAGAAATGAGCATTCTCATTGGTAGAAATCTTATCAAGAAGATCGTATTTTAATCTTGTCGGTTATAAAATTTCAATTGTATAACATAGATGATTATTTGTTCATGTCCTCTAAAATGCCAATATCTGACGTTAAATTTCATTGATGATGCGCATTTACATAGTAAAGTTACTACACTTCTTTTTTTTTATTGCTATTGTCTGATGAAAAATAAGTAACAAAGGTATGTTTTTGAAATAGTGTTACGTCAATATATTTTGACAACGACTTTCGAACGAATCATAATTTAAGTAGTAATAAAAAAAAAATGCAATGAAAATTTTTCTTTCTCAAGCTTTCGATGATTATTATTTATTTTCATTAGAAGAATATGATATTTATTGAAAGCTTGAAATAGAATAATCAATGAGTTGAATAACAGAAAAAAAAAAGTTTCATTGTAATTTTATTAAGTGTAGCATCAATCGACTTTATAAGGCAATGTTGATTTAAAATTATTTGATATTCTGCAGACAGTGTTTTATCCAGGATTTTTTCTCCGGAGGGGCGATTTGGAATTTCGGGGGGGCGAAAAATTATCTTCGGGAGAGCAAGCCACGTGTTTTTAGTACGATGATCGCAAGTTTCGGGGGGGGCGAACTCGATTTTCGGGGGGGCGCGGCCCCCCCGGGCACCCGTCTGGATAAAACACTGTCTGCAGAACTATTTATGTTTTATTCTATGTACAAAATTTTGAAATATTCTTTAGATTGAATCTTATATTTTTATTTAATATCGATACATTAAATGAATATGATGGTTATCATTATGATGTGAATTGATTTGATGAACTTTGTTTTTGAAAATAAACTAAAAGCATAAACATTTCTTACTAAAAGAAATTAACGTAAATTCTTCAAAATTTTAGTTTTTATTTCTTTCGGTAAATATCAGTTCATGCTTAACTAATCTAGAAAAAATAAAGACAATGCGTTGCACATTTTTTTTTTTTGTCAATATTTAAGGACAAACAGTTAAGAGATGATAAATACAGTAAATTGAGTAACTGATAAAGCATATGACTAATAGAAAAATGTTTTAATAGTTGTAATCATTTATAGGTTTATTAAAACTTATTCTTTTATTAGATTAATCTTTTGACCTTCTGAAAAATTTGTTCATTGATCAAATAGATTTTCTATTGTACAGAAAAATCTTTTCTTTCGAAACCAAAAAACTTATATGAATAAGTTTATTCTTCTTAGGAAAGAATTAATTTTTGTATTTCTCATTTAGTTAAAAGAGAATTTTTCACTTTTCATAAAATTCACATTCATTCACTTCCACAAACAACAAAATAAATTTAATTATGTGAAAATTTTCAATATGTTCATCATTTTGGCAAAAAACAAATTTTGACGAAATAAAGTCTAATACTAAAATGAAGAATTTCTCTTATCTTCAAAATAAAAACATTCGTCTTTTTTTTTCCTCAAACTATCAACAGAGAAATAAGTTTACTACACACTCAAAATAATGTAATGTAAAAAAAATATAGTTAATCATAATTGAATGAATCTATGAGGGTGTGGATTAGGGTGACAATGAAAGATTAATCTAAGGATAGCGTTCGATAAAATAACGGGATAATCGAACTTATTACCTTTACCTCAACAATTCCCATGGAACTTGAGATAAAAACATTCTGTTTATATATACATTAGATATAAATAAAATGAAGGTTAGTGTTAAGACTCGAATATTGTCGATATTTGAAGGACACAAGTAAGTAAGGTAATATGTAATTTAAGGCATATACATGTCAAAGAAAGAATATACTCTATGATAAAACAAAAAAAAAACAGAGTTGAACTATTCTCTTGAATGGATTATAAAGTACATCATTTTTTGAATTAACTTTCTCTCCTAATCACTACAAAATTAATTAAACTTTAAAAATCAAAAATATTATTGTAGATTGAATTGATATAAAAACATAAGATTGAAAATGATTGACATAAGTAGAAAGTCGTTTTCTTTTTTTTGTTTCAATAAGATTTTTCTTGTTAAATACTTTGATTTCTTTGTATTAGGCTCCGAACAGACCGACTAATTCAAAGTAAATTAAAACTGAATTAACGTAGAAATCGTCGATTTAAATCGAAATAGACTAATCACGTTGCTTAATTCATTTTATTTTTTTCAGTCTGTTCGGGGCCTTAGAATATTAAAAATAAAATATTATCTAGAATAGACAAATCAAGTCAGTTTAAACGTATAGTTAAAAATTATTAACTTATACAATTATAGTCTGTTAAAATCAAACATATTCATTTTTTTTTTGTATTAAAATTTAACTATAATATCGAATACACTTTACTAATTTTTCTTTTTTTTTTTTTTGATAAGTATAAACTCACGAATACTTTGATTCTACTCATCATACGCAAGAAAATATGTTGCTGCAAATGCATTTTGCTTCTAAAAAGAAAAAGTATTCTTTTATTAAGATGAAAAAAGAATTGTAGTACAAAAAAAAAAAACAAAATACGAATGTATAAAAGTTTTATAGAAATTCTAAATCATTTGATTTTTTTATTATTTTTGCTCTTTTAAATAATAATTATTATTATTCTTAATATAGAAGTTTTTCTTTGGTAAGAAAATGCTTTTTTTTTTCTTTTATTTCTGTAAAGAATCTGTCGTTCTGTTGCATACGAAAGAAAAAAAAAAGTAATCACATTGATGAAAAGAAATCTGGAATATAGAGAAGAACAAATATACACTGTACAACGTCAAAACTTGATCAGTTTTCATGCAAGTATTTATCAAAGCGTCTATCGTTTACCATACTATGAGTATGGCAAGCAAAATGACATAGATTTCAGATCTGTTAATTAATTAAACAGAAATTATGCTATGTTAGAATTTTTTTTGTTTTCTTCGTGTAGGCTATTTTCAGAATTTCAATGTCCTCGAATACTTCTTTTTTTTCTTAATGAATAGTTTATAAAAACAAATCTATAGGTTTTTTTTTTCTTCATTCCTTTCAAAAAGCATGTTTGCCAACAGATTTTACAAAAAAAAATGTTTTTTTCCTCCGTTCTTCTATCGCAAATGCTTTTCAAATAGTCAAATTACAAAAATGTTCTAATTTTTATTTTAATTCTAGATTATCATCGTTTTTTTATATAATGAATGAAATAATTTATCGTATATATGCATCATATAATTAATAATCAACTTTTTCAATGTTTCAAAATCGTCGTACTATACTTTTATTTATTTTTTCAATTGTTTTTGTTCAAGCACTTTATTATATTGTTACATTACAAATAAAAGAAAATAAAACAAGACTAACAAATTTTCCATCGATAATATTATATGAATCAAAGTCAGATATTGAAAAAATCATCATACAAGATATAAAAAATTTCACATTATATAATAATACATCTCTACAAAAAGAATTCAATCCATTTATTGATAATTCATTATTAATTTCAACTAATTTTACAAAACCAGATCCAAATATATATAATTCATTACCTATATGTAATTTTTCAATATCAAATAATAATTCATCATTTTATAAAGTAACAATTAGTAATAAAATATATTCATTTGATATTATTGAAGAACATCATGGTAATGATTTACATATTGGTGGACATTGGTTTCCAAAAACTTGTCGAACTGAACAACGTTTAGCTATAATAATATGTTATAGAAATCGTGAATCACATTTAAAATTATTTCTTGATAATATACATCCATTTCTTAAACAACAACAACTTGATTATACAATATTTATTATTAATCAACATGGACAAGAACAATTTAATAGAGCTGCTTTATTTAATGTAGGTTTTATTGAAGCAATGAAATTGTATTCGTTTAATTGTTTTATTTTTCATGATGTGGATCTTTTACCAGAAGATTTAAGAAATCTTTATAAATGTGGAGAAAAACCAAGACATATGTAAGTGAAAACAAATCAATGTTGAAGTTTTTTCAATTGGCTAATTGTTTTTAAATGAATGCTGATGTCTCTCTCGTAGGAATACCGAGAAAAATGATTTTTTTTTGAATTTCGATTTAAAACTTTGTACAGAAGTAGATCTTGATAAAAAATAGTTCATTGTAAAATTTGAACGTCTTTTGATTTATTGATTGACAAAATCAATTTTTACAATGTTTCCGAGCGTTTTAGGATATTCAAAATTTATTATGATCTATATTATACACAATGTATTGATTCAAAACGGATTAATCACTTGAGAAGTTTCTCTCATTAGATGTTCTATTCATGATCATAGTATATGTCTATTCAGATTAAATTTGAAATGTTAATATTAATATAAGATGATGTTATTCATAAATTGAATTCATTTATTTGATTGATTGAAATATCTTTTATATTATAGGTCAGTTGCTGTTGATAAATTTCATTATCGATTACTCTATTCAACATTATTCGGTGGTGTAACAGCATTTAGTTTATCTGATTTTATTGGTTCTAATGGTTATCCAACAATTTATTGGGGTTGGGGTGGTGAAGATGATGATATGTATTTACGTGTTGTTAAAAAATTAAAAAAATCAATAACACGTTATCCTATTGAAATAGCACGTTATAAAATGATTCGTACACTTAATCATACATCAGGTAAACCTAATCCTAATCGACATGTCATACTTTATTCAAAATATAATTATAATCATGATGGTATAAATACAACAAATTATAAATTACATGATATAGTTTTTCATAAATTATATACATTTATTAATGTTACATTACCAGAAGAATCATTTAAACAAATATGTATGCGTTTAAATATTACAAAAAGAGAAAGAAAAAAAACAAGACCACAAAAAATAAAGACTAATCTGTGATTATAGTTAATGAAATATGAGAAATATTGTATTTTATCTTTATTTTTTGCTCTTCAATTTTGTATTAACACAAACGAATGACATGATATTTGTTTTTTTTTTGCTGATCTTTTTTACACACTATCTTGTTTGATTCTCATCGTGTCTGAATATAAATTATCTGAAAATGAATTTTATACATTTTAGATCTATAGATACATACGTCTATGAAAACTTACGGCAAATTTATATAGATTTTCAATGTTAACAGCAAATATTCAATAAAACTTAATTAAATGATCGAAAAGACAGAAAATGATTTTTTAGCTTTTTTATTGTTTGTATCTTTATAACCGAGTGCAAAATTTAAAATAGTAAAAATCAATTGTTAAGAAAAAGTCTTTTCTGAGTTCTATCTTGCTGAATAATCTCGTCAGAGATGCGATTTATACCATAGAGTCTATTCTGAAATTTTCGAATTTTTTTCTAATATGATTAAAGAGATATTCGTTATTTACTTTTTGAATTAAGATTTAGCTGAAAGAGTCAATAGTTTTTATAAATGTCTATGCTAAAAGAACTTATTCAGAAAAATAATCTTTGTAAGGAAATCAAAATCAAATGAAAGGTAAGCATGTTCCGTTTTGCTTGAATTTGCTCATATATGCTACAGCAGCTTCTGGTCGTTTAGTACTTAAAATAGTTTCAATTCTTAAAGATTTATTTTTTCCTTCATTAATGATGTTTCTTTGTGCCTTTTTAGTAATTCGGATACAAGTAATATGAATTATAGTTAAATTTTTAACGTTAAGAGCTTCTCTCACATTCAAAGTATATAACTATCAATCTTGATATCAAAGTTAAAAATAAAATAATTTACTTTTAATGATATAGTCACAACTGTTGATGGTTCTATCAAACATTGTAATTGATGTATATCTATGGAATATGTTGTGGTTGTTTTTTAAAATAAAAAATACTAGCATGATCAGAATTTTCACAGTGGTGATAGAGAGGCTTAACTTGAATCGACCTTCCAATGGTGGAGCTTTGACTCTTATGCTGATGCCACTAATAAAAAAAGAAAGACTGTATTCTAGTGAATTTTATCATTTTCCGTAACTAAATATAGCATTAGTTTGAAATGGAGAATTATCATGTCAACCATCTACTTGTATATCTGATAACGGAGAAAGATTAAAAACTTTTAAGCACAGATTATACTTATTTATCATTTAGGATACTAATCAAAGTAAAGAATTCATACATTCTAATAATTTACAATTATAAGTAATGTTCATTTATAAAAATATAAAAGTGAAAAAAAAAATAGTTCTATCATATCTTAACTAAAGCTAGGATTGATACTTGTATTTTATTTGAAGTGTATTCTCAATAACATCTTTACATCGTATATGAAATACAAATCCGATAGGATTACTCTACTTGTCGTCTTTCACTGTAAAAAATAATATGTATAAATCCTTTCATTCTCTTGATAAACAGCAATTCGTGTTAGAAAAGTGTATTTATCCTTCTTATAGTATTTACTGAGTCGAATAAAAGGAGCCTATTGTATATGGGCTTATTTCATACGATGTAAGATTTAAAATAGAAATATTTGAATTTTATCACGAGTATTAATCCGAACTTTGATTTAAACGAAAGTGGCATACTTACAAGAAACTGATATGCTAATTAAGAAAGTACCCATGTCCTGAAAATCGCTGAAAAATTGGCGATTAATCGCCGATGTTTAATGATATTTTTAGTGTTTATTACGATAAATCGCGATTTGTTTCCCGATTTTTTACATATTAACTATAGCTTTATCGCCAATCTGATCTGATATTAACACGATTTCAGAGAAATTTTATTTATTTTCTTTTAACTCCATTTATTTTTTAAATTTATTTTTATTTAAAAAACATTTATCATTTTGATCAAGCTTAAAGTAAAAGTAAAAAGGAAAACCGAACAAAATTAGATGGCTACCTTTTCATTTTTCACACAATTCTCTTATGAAGTCCCACAAAAAAATAGAAGAAAAAGGAAATGTTAGAATATCTATGTACTACGATAGATGACAAAAATAAACGTAGAAAATATGAATAAACCTTGAGATACAGAAAGATGGCATCTCGATGCTACGAAAACTATACAAACTGGTTCAGAAATACTAGATTCAAATGAAAGAAATAAAATATAAGTCAAATCTATATATGTATATGCAACACAGTGCCGAACATCATAATCAAAAGTTAATTATAATAATTAAAATAGCTTCAATAATAAAAATATCCAAGTTAAATATATTTTTTTCCAATTTTTCCAATAATTAAAACTGTCTATTGATTTTTCGGATGCTGAAATTTTCTTGTAGTGATAATATCGATCATGTTGATTTATTTTCAAAATCATTATCAAAATTATTATTATCTAGAAGAGAAAAACGTGGAAGCATATTTTAGAACCTACCAAAAAAAACTATCTGATTTAGTTACATTTTTTCAAAATATTATCTAAGCTTCCTTTGTTAAGACCAAACACATTTGAGCACCAGTATCCAAATTGTTACCTGTAAATCAGCTCTTAAACGAAATTCAACTTGAAGAGAACCTATAGTACAAACAAAAATAGTTACGTAGTACAGTTGAAATGGCTTACGTCGAATGATTCTAACTCGATCATCTCTATCAATACAAGGTGGATCAATATGAAGAAGTTCTTTTTCTTCTTGAAATATTCATCGATAGTCTTTAATACGATTTACTTGTATTTTCTTTTTCATCTGAAATTTGAAGAAGACCAATTTTTTTCTCACTACTAGAGTTGAAAATCGAGAGAAAAAGGTTAGAAAGAAATTTAATACATTTCTATTTACAATATTGTCAGGATTAAAAATTTATGTTAATACTTCAAGTCCTGTCTTATCACACAATACGATTTGAATCTAAAAGAGAACTAAATATTTGACTAAGATCAGTTTTCTTTACTTTATGATTTCGCATAGCTGTGGCTATTTTTTTTGACTGTTTAAAATGAAACTGAATGTTTTTTTATGTTGATCGAACGAAATATGATTACTATGAGCTCTAGTACCTCGATGTATCAAAAATCATTAAATCTTGACTAAAAACTTAATTATGTGCGATAGAAGGAATTTATATATATATAGTTGAAATTAGCATCAATATCTGATGCGAGTGAAATTAAACTTTCAACTATTATTTCCTTAAGAATACAAAGAATGAGCGAATAATTGCTTTTTGTCTGGATTGTCCAACCAAATGAAAGATATGCTATTGACATCAAATGTACTAATTAGTTTTTTTTCCATTGTCCATTATGTACACGTCTAAAGCCACAATCTAGGGCACTGAACTTGTATTTTGTGTAGATTTATATCAAAATTTTAATTACTCAACAATACATTTACATCCGATTATTTAAAAAATCTGATTAATCGCGCTTAATCATTCCGATTTTTCAGCGATTACGATTAATCGCAATTTTACGTTCATTTTTCGAGAAATTGCCAAAATCGCGGCGATTTTCACGACATGGGTATGTTTAGTGATATTGAAGGAGTTTTACACTCGAAATGACAATGACTGACTAATACCCAAGCAGACAAAAATTTGGAAAAACGCGTTTCAACGCATAAAAGGAAACTGCAATTATGAGCCATTCACGCTAATTATTAAAACACCAGAAACACTGCTTTTAGCATGATATTATCATTTTTAGAGCGTTAAAACGATCAAAAACTCGTATTTTAAACGTTTAAACGTATGTTTTTTAAATCCTATAACAAAAGCGCGTTTAAACGCTAAAAGTATGAGTTTTTGATCGTTTTAACGCTCTAAAAGTGATAATATCATGCTAAAAACAGCGTTGCTGGCGCGTTAATAATTAGCGTGAATGGCTCACAATTACGGTTCCCTTTTATGCGTTTAAACGCGTTTTTCCAAATTTTTGTCTACTTGGGTAATCCATTCTTTGAAAAAGCAGATTAGAAAAATCTTTCAGATTCTATGATCAACAGTGTTGCCATGAACGGACACGGCAGAAAAAGCTCAAGTATGTAATACTAACAAACTGTCTTTTAAAAAAAACTGCAAATACATGCTTCAATATTCCTTTTATGCGTGTCCTCTATTTCCATCACATATGATTGGTTATTTGCTATTTCTATAGCAGAGTTGTAGTGTAGTAAAACTATCTATGTAGATATTGAAATTACGTAAATTTTACTATCCTTTGCATCCGTGAAAATTAGTATTTCTATTAATTAAATGACACCTAATAAATCTTCGAAACATTCATCTGTAGTTATTACTACTGATGATCAAAAGATTAAAAAAGTTTGTTCTTTTTTTTTTTCTTTATTAAACATACTTATTTTCAAATAATTTTACTTTATAGAAAAAGAAAATTTTAAAAACAAATGATAATGTTCTAAAAAATACAAGTAAAAAGAAAAAAGAAAAAAGAAAAAAAATCTTACCAGATGAAGTTTGTTATTCTAATTATTTTAAAAAGAAACTAAATCTTTTCTTTTTTTTTTATTATTGATTTCAGACATCTTTGTCTAAACAGCAAACTTCACAAGATACTCAAACATCTATTAATCCAATGAATATTGAACAAAAACAACAAAATTCATCAACTGATAATCTTGTTATATTACTCACACAAGGACTACAAAATAATGATTCAAGTTTACTTGATGTAAGTAAACAAAACAATAATTTGTCATGTGATAAAAATTCAAAACTTCTACAAATGTTTTCTCAATCTTTTCTTTTGCTCTTTTCGATAGAATGTACTAAGTCATCAATTTTAGCAAAGGAAAGTAATTTTTTCTCTTCTTTCTATCGAACTAATTAAAGATTTCTGTTGAATTTCGACATTAAAAAAATCGAACTTTAAAAATTAGTTTTTTGAACACAAAATCTTTTTGTGAAAAATCAGAACAAATCTTTAAATCGTTCGACAGAAAGAAGAGGAAAAAAAAATCTTCAACAATTTGTTACTAGAAATTGCTTTTTTATTGAAATTGATCTTTGGATGAAATTTTCTTGTGAATCTTCCGAAAAAAAAGTTAGCAATTCGATGAGTTCTATCGAGCTGAACAAAATAAATTCTGGACAAAAAAGTTGCGAACTTCCATCACCTTACAATGAATTTTCTCTCTGTCTCTCTCTTTATTATTTTTTTAAATATTAACGTTTTGAATCGATTGTAAACTATTCTTTTTTATGCTTGAACGTTGTTGTTGTTGTTGTTGTTGTTGAGATGAATCAAATTCTTTTGCACCTTGACTTTTAAGATAAGTAAATACATCTCGTGAACCTGTTTCACGTGCCCATTTAAGTGGTGAATGTCCTTGACAATCAGTTGTATTAAGATTTGCACCACGATTTACAAGTAAACGAACAAGTTCAATATCATTATGTGCTGATGCAACATGTAATGGTGTCCAACCAGATCCATCTTTTGTATTTAATTCAGCTTTATGTTTTAATAAAAGACGAACAATATCTTGATGACCTTTAGTAAATAAAAAACAAAAAAAAGAAAATTCGCTACTTATCTGTTATCTTATTATGTTAAATATAACTTACCAAGATCAACAGCACGATGAAGAGCAGTTATACCATCATTATTAACAATATTTACATCGATATCATATTTAATAAGTAATTCTATACATGATACAGCATGAACTTTAACAGCTTCATGCAAACATGTTTCTCCCATAACATCTTTATTATTAATAAATTTTTCTCGTACCTCATTATCAACTGTATCAATAATATTTTCAAGTAAATATCTTACAACATTATATGATTGACTAGTAATAGCATGATAAAGAACATTTCGTCCTTTATAATCTTGACGAAATACATATGCACCTGATTCAATTAATAATTGACATATTGTTTTATTTCCATAAAATGCAGCATACATTAATAATGTTACTCCTTCATCAGGATCACATAAATTTGATAAATTAGCTGTTTGTTCTGGTGATGAACATGAACGTAATTGTCGTTCTAATTCTTCACTATTATCCGTACATATTAATGTAAAAAATTTATTAAATTTAGCTGATTGTGATTGACCCATTGAAATAAAAAAATGAAACAGAAATGTCTAAACAAAAAGATAAAAGATCTTTTTTTATATTTCTATATAAAATATTGTATCAAAGTATTGTTATATTTCATCATAGATATCATTACACGCTTGATTGATTCTTTATTTTTATACATCAAGGATTAAAATAAAGAAAAGACGTAGATATAATGAATCATGTTTTTTTCTTCTTAGGAAGCACTGTGTTGTCGAAATGATAAAATTATTGAACAAACAGTACGAATAATTCCTAACTCACTCTTTTTACCATTAATTGATTGTTTAAACAAATATCTTTATCAAAATGCAGAAAAGTAATATAAACTAAATTTTCAAAATTAGAAAAACAAAAATGATATAATTATTATTTTAGAGGTTATGTTGCATCGAGATGGTTACGAGCTTTACTAAATATTCATTCATCGTACCTTATGACGGTAAACCAAAAAAGAAAGTATTTTATACATATGAAAAAAGAATATATATAAAAACTTTTTAGTATCCCGATATCATGGAACGTCTTAGTCCTGTATATGAACTTATCGAATCACATACAAAAATTTATCCAAAATTAGCTCGACTTCATGGAAAAGTCTTACTTATTGCTTCACAAGTAATCTATATATATATAATTTTGATTAATACTATCTATTAATGACAGGAGAACACTAAATAGATCATAGAAACATACCACTGAGTAATTTTCAGTAACAAAAAAAAGCAATTGGATATTGTTTCATATGACATGTGCATTATCAAGTAAATAAAAATAAATCAAGCATAGCTAATCGACAATTAAAGAAATATTTTTCTAACAAACGATAAACATTATCTTTTAGTTAAGATATATATATAAAAAAATAGCTAAACTAATTACTAGAATTAAGGTATCCTATTCGACTCTATTATAAATAAAAGCATAACGACCTATGGTACTTATCAATATTATATGACACAACATTATTATACCGTATTGAAAGTTCAAGGACACACTCTCTTTGTATATAATAATAGTACAAACAGTATTCTTTATTTTATCGCTCTTCAGTTGATATGATGATACTAAACTTGCGATGAAAATTATTCAGTTTTGTTTTAAATTTTTGGTTCGATTTAATAAAAGAAAAAACGTAATACACTTTCTAGTTAGCTAAACCTTATTCATGAACGTATATGTACTATTGTTATTGACTAGATTTTACATTTGAAAAAAACCTGAAAGATTATCTAAACGATTTTGCGACGATCAAGACCTGATAGATCTGTAACTGAGACAACATTTGAAAATATTGAATAAGTTCATTACATTTATCAGTTCTTTTATTCATGATAAGACTAATGGATGAGCCGAAAATTTTGAGATCAAATATTTTTTTCGTTTTTCAATTGAGTAAGATAGTAAAAATTTGTTCAAAAAGTCATGCAGTTCAACGAAAGAAAATGAGACTTGAATAAAGTTGGCATCTACATGCCAAAAATATGAAATTGCTGAAAAACTTTATTTTTGAATTTTCAAAGATTTTCTCATAGCTTCAAATCTACATTCGAACAAACGTTTTTCATAGAGTTTATTATTCTACGGGTTTCTTTTTACAGTGATGAACCGTTTTTAACGTCTCTGCGGTACAAAGGGAATAGTGTATGCGAAAATGATTCAGTAACAATTACTTTAATATTTGCTGTTTCTTAGTCGACAACCGAACTGTCGAACATATAAGTGTACAGAATAGATGAAGTATTAAAAAAAAAGGTAATGAATCTCTAAGAGAGAAGATATAAGAAGTCACGCGGATCGTACAAGATGTTTTAACTTCACTGACTCATGATTTTGTGTATTTTAATGGATTGATATATATTTAATTTCATTGAATTATTCTATCTAGATTAATAATCATAACCAGGGATTATCAAATAGTAATGATAAACTTTCAACACAAGCATCATTAATTTTCGAAGGTAAATTTCTTCAATTAGAAATTCAATTTTGATTTGTTTTTTTTTTTACTTTTTATTAAAGATGTATCCGATAACGATATTGATGATGATCAAACACAAGATGAACTTATACCAAGTCCATCTGAATATGATGATTATTCTGGTTTATCTGATGATCTTGATCTTGGTATAGAAAATGATGATAATGAAGAAATAAACGAAACTGATTCCGATGTAAGTTATTTTTTCATCGATAATAAAAAAAACTCTTTTCTTTTTTTTGCTTCATTAGATTAACTTTCAACAGGATGGTTATTCAAATACTGATGATGATTCATCCTAATTCTTACTTGTTTTTTTGTATTATTATTATTATTATTATCGAAAGTTTTATATAAAAAAATAAAAAAATAAAGATTTATTTTTTATGAGTGCTATTTATTTAAGTATTTTTTATGTGCTATACAGAATAATCAATATCGCTGAAATAATAAATATACACAATGCAGGTTTAATTTAACGACGAGAAGTTAAATTACGAATCTAACAAACAAACAAAAATATATATAAAATGATTAATTATAAAAAGAAAATTTTATTTACATACCACTGAAAAAAGTCCAGTAGCAATTTGGGCTGTATCCGATAGAGAATTTGATACCTGAAATCGAATAAAAAAAACTGTTTAAAACATGATGAAACAAAAAAATAAGAATAATGTTTAACCGTATTTCGAAATGAACCAAGAGTTTGAAAATCATTAAATCGTCTTTCTAAAAAGTTTATTGTATCAGTTTTATTTTGAGATTGATCTTGAATCATATAAATTTCTGCACTTTGATAAATAGTTGCTAGTATAAGTCGTTTTGAATACCAATTTGTCTATATCAATAAAATAAACAGAACAAGAATAATATAAAATAAATATAAATATCATTATTTACATCTGTTGATGTATCACCAATACTATGCCAAGCTTCACTTGATAAATCTAATAGATTTTTCCAACTACGCATTGCATTTTGCGGCAATGCTCCTTGTGCTAATGCCTATCAAATAGAAAAAAATGAAAATTAATTAAGAACTCATGTTGATAAAGCATTTGCGAGTGTTCGCATCATTTTGAATTGATATTTTGATAATAAGTAGGGATTCGTATGCTATAAAAAGCTTTTAAAGAGTTTGTATTCATGAGTATTGCTAGCCGAGAGACTTAAAATTTTTTTTTTGTGAATGTGTTTAACGATAACTAGATCTCTTAATGTTCTTTTCTTCAGTATCATTTTCATTAGAACATGAATTGTTCATGAGTCTCATCTTCAACATATAGTAGTTGTCAATAGATCCGCTACTAAGTAAAAAAACATTTAAACTAGACTAGAGCAGGATCAGTCATTTTTTGATTTCAGTTGGATTTTAGAATTACTAGGAAATCTTGTATCGTTTGGTTCCCTCATTCGAAAATTGTCTCTATCCTTGATAAAAACTTCATATTAAATGGTTATAGTTTGTCTGATTTATGAAGTTCTTTTGGTGAGTACAATAAGTAATGAAGATAAATATGATTTCTATTTACTAATATCTACTTATTCGATTAAATATATAATGTACCTGATTCCATGTATTAGCATACGGTATAACAAGACCAAGTCGATATTTAAGACCTTCAATAAGTAAACGACTTCCTCGTATATCTCCTCTAGACATAATAAAGAAAATAATTTTTAATAATTTATTCTTTGTTTTTTTTTTTTTTAATAATCTTACTTCTTTCCTTGTTCTTTCATATAAGCTGACATTTGAGAATTTGCATCACGCATAAAATATTCAACAAGATCATAACCATTACCAAATAATCCTTCAATTGTTGATGGTTGATTATTAGCACGTATACCTGTATTAATTACAACTCGATATATATATATATATGTGTTGACGTCTAAATTAAGATTATATCTAATCTTGGATCTAAGATTGATCGATGACAAGATACAATCTCAGTTTGAACGTTAATATATAGATAAAAACAGAAAACAACAACGAACCAGCTCGAATAGCGTCCATTGTCCAACCATGTTCATGAACATATTTTAATGATTCACGTAATATATCATCACGTAAATCACTTTCACGTTGAATAGGTATTTCAGTAGTCATATTTGTAGAAGTCGTAGTACTACAAAAATCATTCAAAGATTTTATTTTTTATTTTAATATATGAAAATATATTTAACCTTGTTTTATCGATTTTCTTAGTATCAAATGGATCTTCTTTTGGATGTTTTTTTGTTGATGCTGATGTATCTTGACCACCGAATACTTTCGATTGATTTGTAGTTTCATATATTGTTGTATCTGGAGTTACCGGTGGAATACTACTTGTAAATTGTGCTGTTGGTGATGATGCATTTGAATAAAGTTCAGTTGAAGAAATTTTCGGTGCAAATACAGTATCTGTTGTTGATGATGATGTTAATGGTGTATTTGGTGCAAATGGTTCAAATGCTGAAGCAGCAGCAGCTTCAGCTAATTGAGCTGGTGTAACTTCAGGTTGTAAAACATGAGTTCGAAGAGGATCAGCAATATTTAATTCACCTTGTTTTGTATGAACTGTTGTTTCATGTACTGTTTGACCACCTTCCGTTGATCTTGGAACAAATGTTGTTGCAGCAGCACCCAATGGAGCAACATGTACTGAACCTGCATTTTGAACAGACCTTGAAAAAAAGAGTTTAATACGAGATATATGTTTATTTTCAAGATTAATAATAAATAATTATTTAATTTACCAAACTTTTCCACTACCAGTTAATGTTGGTGTAGTTTTCGGTAGTGTATCAATTGTTTCTGGTGATTGTCCGCCTCGAAGGTCATCCGGTATATGTGTTTCCTCCTTAGCTGTTGATGGTTTAAAAAGATCTGTATTAACATTGATATCTTTTTCATTTTTATTAGTATTTGATAAACATCGTTTTAATAATAAAATATTGATATTTGAAAAAGTTGAAGGATTATTATTTGATTGATATAAATTCACAACTCGATATAATCGAGATGTTCCATCTAGATAATATGAATTTAGTAAATTCAACAAATAAATCTTTTCACTAAAATTAATACAAACTGCGAAAATATATTAGACGTTGCATTTGTATATATTTAAGTAGACTTTTTTAAACTTGAAATGAGGTCGAACAGTATATGTATATATATAGTAGTTGTATGAATGTATCGCTACAATCAATGTTAAAATTTTAAGAAATAATTTAGAAAAGAATTTCAAAATTTTAATAATTAAAATATTGAAAAAATAAAAATCTTTATTTGATTTTGTTTCATATAGTTCAATGTGGTATAATTCAATATTTTTATTCGTTGATTCATAGAACCACTTAGAAATTAGTTTAATTCAATACTTATCTACCTGCCTACTACCTTGCCACGATACTATATATATATTTGCTTATTATTCATATGTATATTTAAGAATAAAAATCAATGGCATCATTAACAAAAGACGATGAATTATGTTCATTTGATGTACCCGAAACAGCACGTCATCCGAGTGGTCATACAATATATAAAATTGTATTACAAATAACACCAAAAGAATTAACAGAAAATAGTTATCAAGTATGTATCAGTTAAAATTTAGAATGTAAAACACCTTGAAAAGAAAACAAAAGACTTTAAAGTGTTTAACATGCAATCATTTTGTATTACATAATAGAATTTTCTATCGGTCACGTTTGTTCCTTTGGTCTCATATATATATACATATGTCATAATAATCTTACTCGAGTATGCGTACACGTATATTCTTCTTTCTTGTATATTGTACTTTTCAATAGATTTTATTGTTTTGCAATCAAGTAAACTGATTTATATGAAAAAGATATGTTCGATGTGATAATTGAAATTCTTCTGCTTGTTAGAAAAAAAAATTATGTGTGAACTATAAATTCTATATGACATATATTTTTATTTTTATTCATTGAAATTTTATTTCGCATAGTGGATACATAAACAGATCATTTTTTGAAATTAGCTGTAAAAATATCATGAAAAATTTTTGATTCAGATTTATAACAAATGTCATATAGATGCAAGGAACTATTAAAATTATTAGACAATCTTGCAAAGGCACCATTTCTTTATGCTTTAAGCCTTTTTTACTGCCGAAGAAAGAAGATTATACGCATTATTTCGCAAAGATGGAATTTTTCTGCAATTTACCTTCGAGATTTATTAGTTTCTTGAGAATGTAAATCGTTTGAAGAGTGAAAGAGATATTTATGTTTGTATTTCGAGCGATGATATATGATTAAACACTTACAAAAAATAATTAATCTCAAATTGAAAACAATTCTTTCATTTCCAGGATCTTATCGATATCATTAATCTAGATTTTCTTTTTTTGTTCATGTGAAATCATTGGTTCTAATAAAGCTTTTAGTAAGAAGGTCCTATTACATATGAGTTTATATTGAAAATGAAGTCATTCGAGGAACATCATCTTTATGCTATAAAACACGATCTAAAAGAAGTGTTGTAGTTGGGAGGATGAAAATTTGTAAATTTCACAAACCGTGACAAACACTTTAGTAATAAATCCCTCATACGCGTTACATGTCAAGACAGATATTAATATATACTGTTACTTCAAACAGAAAGTTTCTATGAATGAGTCAAAAATCAAAGGATGATTGTTCTCTAAATTTATTAATATATGTTAATTTGTATAGCTTATATATTGGAAACGATATAATGATATTCGAAAATTGTACGATGTTCTTCAGCGTTATCATCAAGCAGTGTTTCGTCCCGGGAAATTTCCTGATTTTCCAGATAAATCACGATTTATGGGTATTTATTGATATACAAAAAAAAAAAAAGAAAATTTTACATATATAAAAAAACAAACTTTTTTTAGAACGTTTTGATCCAGCTATTGTTGAAGCAAGACGTGTTGCAACAAAAACTTTTCTTAATTATGTTTTACAACATTTGTATTTACGTACACATGAAGCTTATTTAAATTTTTTTCAGGTAAATTATATTTAAATTTTTTTTTTTTTTTTTGCAATCATTTATTTATGCTGATACAGTTTAGAAAGGTGAAAAAGTTCTTTTACCTGATGTTCAAACAGTTACATTACAACCTGAAATAGTCAATACACATTTACAAACACCTACTAATATCATGCCGATTTCATCAACAATTACAACAAATGAACCAGTAATAGAATCAAAAACTGAAGAACTTTTATTTACAAATGATGAAGAAGAAAAAATAGAACATGTAACTAATACATGTGCTAAAATACTTGACGATCTTAATGATCTTCAATTTGAACAACAAGAACAAATCAATCAAGAAAAAGAAGAATTTGATGTAATTCAACAAGAAGTTAATGAAGCTGCAAGTAAATAATTAAGTATTTTTTTTTTCATAGACTTTGTTTCAATCGTAAATACAAAGCTTTGTTGTTTTTTTTTTGAGATCAGACAAAAACAAAAACATTAGCAACATATGTCAAATAATAGATGCAAAATGTTCCGACTACATTAACGAAATGTGTAGAATAATTGGTCAGAGTACATTATAAAATATATAATAAAAATGAATAAAAGGGACATATTTGCAATTAAAATAACTGTTGTATGAAACCTTCATCGGTTCTATATAGCGTCTATATATTGGTTATTGAATGATAGACATTTGCGGGGGTAGTTGTTTTTCATATTCTGTAACCTATTTAATGAGGGAAAATTTTCGATTGATCATTCACTTGTTCACTGAAGATGAATGATCGACTATCCTTATTTCACATGTCATCATAGGAAATTCTTTGAGATCTTCATAGAACATATTGAATTACGTAGAGAACAGTAACTTTTTCTATTTAGAACTCATTTTTTGGCAAATAGAAAAGGATAGTGATTTATCGACATCTCGATATGATCTATAATTTGACTAGTTTCAAAATAATTTTAGTGAAACGTTTGTTTACATAGAACATCAGCATAGCTGATATTATACCTATGTTAAATTTTCTTACTCTACTAATCTACACTGTAAGATGGAGTAGGTTGACCTACTTTTCGAAGTATTTGCATGTTCCTATCCTTGAAACTGTTTATTGAGATCAGATTTCAAAGTAATATTATAGAAAAAAAAATGACAATGACGATATGATAAACTCTCTTGATTAGAATGTAATACGAAAATACTATCCATTACTCGATCTAAAGAAATTTTATAAGCATTTAAATAAGAGACCAGTACTTGAGAGAATCATACTGTTTCGATCTTTAATTGAATAAACTTTGATTTTTTGCTTTAGACTTACTTTCATTACCATTGGCAACAACATTGAATCAAAATAATTCATCTTAATTGACTTGTCATTTTAATTTGTTAATTTTGTTTATTTTTCATCAAATATTTCATTAGTTGAGATAAAAACTATTATCAATAACATTCCGGTGTCACAGCTGTTGTCATTATATTTTGATCAAGTACAAGCAATCGATTAATATTTTTCCTTTTCTGATGAGAAAACAAGTTCAAATAGTACTTCCAGTTGGAGTTCATAGTGAAAACATAGCAAGGATATCTTAATGAGACCTGCAAAAGCCTAAAAAGTTTTATTCTTATGGGCCTTTAGCATCGAGTTCTGATCTATTTACTGAATTTTCGACTCATTTTGAGATATTTCTATGAATAATCAAATCATGATACCTCCTTTTAAAAGTTTACCTATCAAAACGAATTTTTTCTAGGTGTGATATAATCTCAAACGATAAATGTCAATAGAGTCCCTGTGAATATATTAGCATAACCTTGATTTGAATGGTTCATTACGAAATAAAAATAAATTGTTGTTGTTTTTTTCTAATTTTTCTTCCAGATATATCCCTAATTGGTCTTTAAAATCTAATAATCTTTTCAATGTTATCTTCTTTGCGTCGTCAAATTAATTTAAAAGATCTGTTTCCAACTCGATGGAGTTTTGTTATTTTTATCTCATATATGGGTTTATTTATCAATCAAGGTAAGTTATATATACAGTAAATACGAAAATTTTTCAACAAAGTTTATTATCAATTTTCGTAAATTTGTCATAACATAATAGAGTAAACCATCCTCTACTGAGTTCTCTGCAATGTTTTTCGACTGAAATACAACAATATGATGGAAGGTCAAAAAACGACTTTGTTTGCTCTATTGTTGTATCTAATCTAAACATAATCATATTTACTAGTTCTAGATGCTGTAAAACTAGTATTTGAAATCTTTCTAGCGTTCACTATAGTGGAAAAATATGTAAATAAATCTTGTTGAATAATTTTGATATATTATGATATTATTTTACAAAAAAATATAAATCGCTTGAACTCTTTAAACATTATTTACAAAAATTTTTCGCAAGAAGTTTTAGAACATTGTTTATATATAAGTTAATATTTATTACTAAAATATTCTTTTCAATAGGTTTATTAGTTACTGGATCAAAAACAGCAACGCATTCATATAATTATAATACAATTGTTGTTGTTTTACTTACAGAATTTGTCAAACTTGTAAGTGCTTTAACGATTTATCGACAAACGTAATTATTTATTTGAGTATATAAATTTCAAATTATGAATTTATTTATTTATTTTTTTTTCTAGTCATTCATTCAGTCAGATGAGAAAAGAAATTCTGGATAATCAAAAAGGTAAAAATAAACAAAAGATTATTGAATCAGTATATCGAGTTTTGAAAAAACAAAATTTCTTTTTGAAAGTATATATAGAAACGATGCAATTTGTATCAAATTTAATATAAGTCTACGAAGAAGAAATGAAAACGTAGGTAAAGCATGAATATATTTATGATAGATGAACAATTTGGAAGAGGACATATAATGATTAATATATTAATCTTGCTAATAATTTATCTAACAAATTGAATATTTTCAAAGATTCTTTTATTTTTAAGAAATTAAGTTAAACTTCAAATAATTTATTATTTATATTCTGTAATAAAGACATGATAAATGATTAGTTTAAGACTATACGTAGATTTTCAGTTAAAAATCATAATTGGCATATACTAATCAATGTGCTATGAATTTACTAATTATATTTAAATATTGAAATTATTTGAAAATTTCACTTTGAATTCATCACATATTTAGAATATGTAATTATCAAGGGGGAAAAAGCAAATTGTGAGTTTGTGATTTAAAATGAGTTTAAAGCCGCTTTGAATCAGCTTTAAACTCATTTTAAATTACAAAAACTCATTTTAACTCAGAAAATTCACATAAACTCATTATAAATCATATAACTCACATAAACTCATTTTCAATCATAAAACTCAAGTAAGCCCGTTTTAAATCACAAAATTCACAGAAACTCATTTTAAATCATAAACTTACAGCTCGCCGTTTTCCGATTTATAGCGAGTCACAAATGACTTAAAGTGATTTTTGTGACTTAAACTGAGTTAAAGTGAGTTTCGTGATTTAAAATAAGTTAAAATGATTTTCGTGATCTAAAATGAGTTTATTTGATTTTTGTAATTTAAAATGAGTTTAAAGTTGATTTAAATCAGTTTTTTCCCCCTTGGTAATTATTGTTAATTATTTAATGTTATAATAGAAATTTAAAATACTAAATCATCATATTTACTTAGGGCATACCAAAAGTAGTGAGAGTGACACTTTAATACCGTATGGTGAGCTTAAAGAAACTTTCTTTCTATATAGTCTGATAGAGAAAAAAAAGCTCTATCTTTCTATGCTATTTGGTCATACTTCAGCTAATATCATATTAATGAAATTTCGATAAGATCTGTTTTGTTCGCATATGTCACGGTTCTATGAATGCTACTGAGTATTTTTTGAATAACTGTTGATACAAATAAGATAGAGAAGTGTGATCTTCACCATTGGAAAAAGGAGATGAAGATGCATCGAATTGTATATTGTAGATTTTTCTAATATTGACTTCTGAAGTATTTTTATTAAATTTTCTAACAATCGTAAAAATGGTTCTTTTATGAAAAAAAGGAGAAAGCAAAAAACTAAGCTTTCTTCACAGATTTTACTACAAAATCGTATTAGAGGCTTGACAAGAATGCATAATATTTATCTTAGCGTTCCGAACCTTTTAGATCTTGGATTAGTGGCTTGAATTTATACTTGATAATTAGAAATTCATTGTAAAAAAACATACCAGATAGGTTTGTTTTTGAAAAGATCAATTGAAAAACTTACAAAAAACAGATTAGGAAAAACTGGGATACATGACTCAATGCATCTTTATCTCCTCTTTCCAACGGTAAAAACCGAAGTAATCTATCTTGTTTTTATCAAAAGTTATTCAAAAAATAGTCACTTGTATTTTTTAAAATGAGTGTTAATACAACCAGCACATATGATAACGAAACACATCTTATCGAAATTTTAGTATTATGATATTAGTTGAAGCATCATTAAATCGCATAGAAAGATAGAGCTTTTTTTTCTCTATCAGACTATACAGAAAGAAAGTTTCTTTAAGTGTACTATCGGGTGCTAAAGTGTCACTCTCACTACTTTTGGTATGCCCTATGTATTTATAACATAAGTTTTTATTCGATAAGCAGCAAATGCACGCTTCAATGCTTCTATATATAAGTCGGCACTTCGGAGAAGAACAAGTGAAGGATACTGCGTCAAAGTTCATCTTTTTTGTTCCCTTCCTCTCCCTATTTCAATGTCAGGTGATCCATTCTATGGACGTGCAATGTAAAAGTTCTTATGAAAACTCTTCTTTGTTCGACACCACTGGTTTTTTCATCATTGAACCTCAATTCATTAACTAATTTTATCAGAAGAACTTCAAAGAATCATCTATACTGAATTTCGACAGTTTTCTCGAAAGTGTTTCACACAAACCGAGCATTGAGTCTTTCGTTGTGAATGCCTATCAGACATAACTTAAAATCGCTGTTAAAGCTAATTTCACACCAAAGATGTGTATGGATTGCAATTCTTTTACACCAGCACTGCACGTCTCTAGAGATGTTTCTTTTCTAGAGTACATTGTGTGCCTGTAATCGTGCAGCTTTCTTTATCGTCCAAAATTCGTGAAAAAAGTGAAAACATTCGTAACAATTACGCAAATATTCATTTGTGCTTGACTTCCCTCGCCCTTTTTTGCAGAGATGACGTTTATGTATGACTACTTATGTGTTCAATCATTTTCGAGTTCATCTGTCAATAGACAACAATATTCGTATCATTCAGACTCAGACTGAGACTTTTCTAGTAAGTGCTGCTGTTGGTCAATGCATGGACTTCCATCACTAATCTCGAAAAAAATTTAGCTTTATCTATAATAAATAAATTTGATCATATTTATTATTGACGTATGTTTATTAAAAATTATTTTTCTTTAGTATTAATTCTTTATTTTATTCCATCGGCATTATATTGTTTATATAATAATTTATCATTTATAAATTTATCATCTTATGATCCAACAACATATTTTTTACTTCTTCAATTTCGTGTTGTTGTAACAGGAGTTATATTTCAAGTAAAAATTATTTCATTTTCTTAGATCTCATCTTCTTCTACTTCAATTCTTTTATTTTAGTTTCTTTTTAATAAACGTTTAACACGTCTTCAATGGTTATCACTTTTTCTTCTTACATCGGGTTGTATTATAAAACAATTTGAACATTCATCATTATCTTCATCATCATCGATTAAAATTTCGAATAAAAATTCAACATTAATTCAATTAAATAAAGAAACTATATCAACTGTACCATCATTAGTTAATATACATCTTATATGGATACTTGTTCAAGTATTTTGTTCTTGTTTTGCTGGTGTTTATAATGAATATTTGCTAAAAAGTGATCGAACAAATCAAGTTGATACAATGTTACAAAATGCTTTTATGTATATTGATTCAGTTATATGTAATTTAATATTATTAATTTATTTTGATTATCAACACCCAACATTATCAGCTATTGATAAATTTTTTAATACATTAAATTTAATATTATCTGGAGAACAATGTCTTATATTATTAATTATACTTAATAATGCTGCTGTTGGAATTGTAACATCATTATTTCTTAAATCAATGACGTCTATATTAAAAACATTTGCTAGTGCTTTAGAATTACTTTTTACAAGTATACTTGCATGGATAATATTTGCTATACCTGTTAGTATATATACATTTATTGCAATATTTATTGTTTCAGCTGCTGTTTATTTATATTCAACAAATCCTGTTGTTAATTTACCTAAAACTGCAACAGTAAATGTTCTAACAAATGCATCAATTCATATTAATAATGAAGATATGAATTTGAAAATTTCGAATATTGCAAATGAACAAGAACGACGTATAATTGTTTGAATGATATATTTTTATTTTCTATTGAATTTTCTCGAGTGTTTTTCTTGTTTTGTTTTTTATTATTATTATTATTATATGCTATGGCATTTATATCTCTTGTTATTAGGACAAAATTTCATAATTACATTTTATTGAACAAAAACAAATAGAAATTATGTTTTAATTTAAGTAATTGGGAAAATAAAATAAAATCTATTTATGATATGAAGAGATTTTTTTCTATGATATATAGAGAATCATGATTGTTGAAGAAGTCGTTAACTTTGAACTTTCTATTTGTTTAGGTATGGTCTACATCAAAATCACATTAAAGTTCGATCGGAATAAAATCGATTGTTGTCAAACTCATACAAAATAAACAGTAGTATTAGATGAGATAATGATTTCAATCTTTATAGATTAACCAAAAAAAAACAAAATGCTTAATCTATGAAAAACTTCGCTTGCATTAGATCCCAAGTATCTTCTACTTGAAGTCGCACGGAAAAACAAAAAAAAACGTCTTCATATCGGACTCTAGTCTACATTTGAATGTAGCTCTCATCTAAAATATAAACTCAAAAATACCTTGATGATTCAATTTAATTATAAATAAATTGTAAAATAATTTTACTACAGTTGCAATACATCCGTTTTGCCATCTGAAATGTCATGATATTCACATTCTTTACATCAAAATCATGACACAAGTTTTATTTGTTAAGTGACTAGGCATAACTCTCTAGTAGTAATGTAAGAAGTTGAAACAAACTAATAAGAGAATAAACATGAGTGTTTACGCAGAATTATTCTCTAAGTATCGAATTTTGTGAGTGTAGATGTGCGTGTTAGAGAAGACAAGAACCAGACCCATCCTATCTACCATGGCTTTAGTTATGAGAAAGTTATGCACATATAATAATCTCACGTGACAGCTAATGGGAAGTTAGTGTGCATATAATGTTGAGAAAAAAGTGTAATGAAAGCCGTAATGAAGGAACCAATCAGTCTCATATTCAAAAACCGTAAACTGTTTACTACAATTTTGCCAACTTCTGAAATTTACATGACAAGAAAGCAAATCGGTTATGTTTCATGAAAATAAAATTCGTGATTTTTTTTTTGTGCGGTAGTAGACACTTCTTTAAGGAACATAATCTGAAAGATCAGAATTATTGATTGAAAAGAACTAAAGATATTTAATTTTTATGGCTGAGAATATAAAGGTAAAATTATTTCGCAATTTACCCATATATAAAGATATATAAATATTGTACATGACTATGTATGTGTTTTGAAGCGTGTCACTTCCGCTTATGATTCAATAACGCATGTAAATTGTGCAATACATATATATAGTATGTGTACACTGCGCACAAGAACGAGATATCTTCTAATGGCAGTCTACGGAATCACTATAAGAGCACTTCGTCTCTACAATAACAAACAGCATGTTGGTATACTCTCTCAAATTGGCCGCCTGCTATACCAAGTTAATATTAAAGAGCAGCAGTGGACATTTGAACTAAACAATCCATCTGATCTTCGGATTATATGAAACAATGAATTGGTTGATAACATTGGGAAGGCTGCCATCTGGTTTACCGCCATGAAAGATGATCAATCACTTGTCGGCTGTTGTCGAATTGTCGATAAGAAATGGATTAGAGGAAAGAACGAAGTACAGCGCTATCTGACCAACGACATCCCTTTATCAAAAATGATTGACTCACTGTATCCATGTGTAGAGGGAAGTCGCACGGCTGTGGCCCTACCCTACCATCGCTCATCGGTTTGCACACTTCTTCTGCAACACACACTCAGCTACATTCATAGCACAATGCCCAATTATAGCGTGTTCACTTGTACTAGTAAACCAATTATGCAAAGAACTTTCGAAGATTTGGGTGGCGTTTGTATTGGCGAGCCATTGCTTTACAACCAGACAAGGTATACTGGTACAGCACTGACACTATAAGCATTGCATCGAATCGTGCGGTACACAAGATGTATCAGTCAAATCAGCGTTGTTGGAACAGAGGGTGCAAATAATTATAGTTCAACAAATGAAATAGAAATGGTGTGGATGTGAGTGGTGTGGGGTCTGGGTGTGAATGCAGATGCAGATGAGGATTTGAATGTGGATCTGTTTTATTCTTCAGCACTCACGGGCACATCCCAAAGTAAAATGTAGTTCTATACACATGTTGAGGTGAATAATTTGAAATATGATTGCTATTATTTAAAGAAACATGTAAATTATGCGTACACATCATAATATTCTAAAGAAAAAATTCCACGTATTATATAGTGATCAAATTAAGTTTTTATATAAGCCGATACATAAGAGCATGACATCTGTCGAGAAAGATATACTTAACAAGTGTAACTTTCATCGTCCTATCGTCTTAATAACTTCACTACAGCGCCAACTTGAGTATTGATTCCGAGACCAGTAACAACCATTTGACCGCTACCTTCCATAACTTGTGTACCGGAAAAAAGTCGAATATCTTCGCGGGTGTAGGTTGGGTTTCACTCTTCTCTTAAATTTGATCCACACCCCACCCCTATACCCAGACCCCACACCTTCACATCCACACGCACATCCAATCTAGTTGACCTTGATAAAGACATTAATCAATATTTATTACCATCCGATCTTCCTATTTCAAATCCATTCTATTCTTCACATTCAATTACTCTAGGTCAATTACTTTCATATTCAGTATCTATCAGGACGAATCAGGAAGTAGTACGTATATTTTTTTAAACGAATGATCAAACAATAACGAAGACAACATTAGCCAAAATATATTTTACTTATTTGAGTCATAATACTTCAAATTTGTTGCCATACCCACCAAGTAAAGTTACTCTCTATTCAAATATAGGCGTCACTTTAGCTGCATTGGTCGTTGAATGAGTAGCAAATATGTCTTATGAAGAACATATCAGAGATAAAATCTTAAAACCATTATAGGTGTTGGTGTTAAGAGAGCTGGCTTTCGTCTCTCCGATATAGGAAATTGAGAAAATTTAGTTGAACATTATTCTTTTAGTTCATGATATTTACATGAATTGAGAGAAATGACACTACGATTAACTGTTACACAGGTAAAAATAACTATCTGTAACCACCATAACTTCTAAGAATAGCTCTTTAGATTGATATTCCAAACTAGCTTTATGTTTCGTTGTATAGTGTCAGTGACTATCCTGCTGGTCTTTTGAGAATGTCAGCTTCTTCATTTTCATTATATCTTCGAATATTTATGCATAATGGAGCATGACTTCTTCGTTCTGAATCTATTATTGAAATGCAAACAGTTGTCAGTAGTGTAGTACCTTATAATAATATAAATAGTAGTAACAATGAATCTTTAGTTCCACCATTAAAATTTGGCGTTGCTTGGTATTAGCAAACTTTAGAGGATAGTCGTCGGTTGGTCGGTCATGCTGATGTGATGCCTAGTGCAACAAATTCAATGTTCTTTAAGGAACAGTGTGATATAGAACTGATTATTCTTACAAATGCGAATATGTCTCCAAATGATAACTTATCAGAAAAGATCGGTATAACATTAAGCAACATTCAATTCGCACTTTTCGACTGTTTTGAAAGTGCAATATATTCATATAGCAACGTTTAGGCGAAAAATTCAATATTTACAATGTCTAGCAAGTTATTTTTATTGATAATAACGTACGATGCAAAAGTAATGGCACAAAATGTTGACCCCTATTTCTCTTCGATAGACAGGTGCTGAAAGATAAGTTCTTTTACCAAAAGATAGAACTTTTCCTCCTCTTTCAAATCGTATATAATTTATTTTTATAACACATTTGTAAACGAAACGACACAATAAAAAAACGAGACACCATCAAAACATATCCGCACTTTTCGTGGAATTTAGAAAAACGGCGAAAGATGTTGGTTCCTATATTTCTTGGATAACTCTTCAATAAACACGTTTTGAAAATAAAATTTTGTTATCAGTTGATAAGAAATTTTCTCCTCTTTTGAACGGTGTATGATTTATATTCGTCACACATGCGTGAGTGAAATGAGACAAAGAAGAAAGACAAACACTGGCGCAATAAATTTACAACTTTTATGTGAATTCGTCAAAAACATCTTGCTAGACATTAATTAATTTGATCTTTCCGTACTCATTAAAAAGCCCTTGTAAAACTGTAGTTACTTCGCCTTTTATAAACTCGTTAAAGAAGCTTTTTAAAACGATAGTTAATTATACTTAACTATCATCCATAAGACGTTTTTGACTGATTCATATAACAATTGCAAATTTTTTGTGCAGGTATTTTTCTTTCTTATTCCTTTCATTCCGTTTACGAATGTGTGACAAATATAAATCATACATCGTTCGAAAAAAGGAGAAAGTTTCGTATTAACTGTTAACAAAATTTTATTTTTAGAGCGCATTTATAGAACAGATATAAGGATCGACATTTCATGCGTTCTTTTACAGAAAAAGTGAGGATATGTTTTAACGGTCTCTCTTTTTTATTGTGTCGTTCCGTTTACAAACGTGTTATAAAAATAAAGTATATACGATTCGGAAGAGGAGAAAAAGCTCTATCTTTTGGTAAAAGAACTTATTTTTCAGCACCTGTCTATCGAAGAGAAATAGGGGTCAACATTTTGTGCCATTACTTTTGCATCATACGTTATATTCAATCTATTTTGAAAACGTGCGCGTAAAGTTATGATCACTTTGTATTTAAATAACAAATGGATATGAAGCTCTTGTAGCTACACCACATTGATTTTTCTTATTTCGACTCATTAACATATATCCGTGAATGCCCCATGATGTGCTCCAGCAATTTTTAAATATATAATAATCATCTTGTCTTTGAGTACCATATCCAACAATTAAACCAGCAAAATTCAGTTTAGTTGATGAACAATTAGGTTCATTGTAAACTCCTGATGAATAGAATTGAAAGGAGCTATGTGATGCATCAAGCTCTATCGAAATAGGACCGATTTCTGCTATAGCTGCTTGAAGAGCTAATTCACTTCCAGATATAATATCGGTATATCCCTAGGATAAAGTAAAAGAATTATGCAAAAAAAAACAGATTAGAACAATTTTATTAAAACTTACAGTCCATGTGACGCCTATTGTATTAGGATTGAAACGACATGGTCCCTTAACACCTGTATATGGATAACTTTCTTCGGTATCTAGTGCTTGAACTGTAACATTTCTATAACCATTACTCATCCAACCACCATTACAACCATAGTTGCCACATGATGAAAAACAATCAATAAGATTCTGCTCGGAAAGAGAAACGAGCTTTTTATAAATCTTCGCATGCTGACCCTCAAGTGCACCAGTTATAGAAAAAGCCCAACTAGCACCATATTGACCTTCATCTTTGATAGGAGTTACAATACCATATTTGCGCCAGTCTAGCTGTGATTTTAATAAAAATATACTTAATAAATTTCATACTTACCAACAGCTGATGGAAGAGCTTCAATTTCGCTAGTGGTAACGAATATTTGATGAGAAATCTCCGTTTTTTCTGGCATTCTGATGTTACTAAGAAGTTGTTTACAAAATTCTTCGTGTGTCTGATCAAAATTCGACAAAAGTTATGCAATGTTTTGCATATCAGTTCTTACTAAATCTCCAAAGATGTTCATGCCCATATGATATGAATGTATTCCCATATCGGCCTCTAGATTATGTTGGCGAATTTTTACAAGATTTGCTTCCCAAATGGTTCGACTTTATATATTTATATTGGAACAGTTTTCATACAGATATATATCCAATCTTACCGTGCAAATTCTTCTTCTACGGATGTATATTTTTTTCCGTGAACACGTTTGAACACAAGCCATGAATTATTGAGACTTACAGGTGCACAGTGAATAGCTGGTGGTAACAGCAAGATATAATAAATAAAACAAAGTTTCATTATCTGAAAGAATACTTTTTTTACAATAACAAGGGGTGTTGTGTATGTTTTTTATATTAATGTTGATAATTTATCTAACACAGTACAACGTAATCACAAAAAAACGAATGCGTCATATTTGCAAATGAATACCTTATTATATGATGATATGCATCTTTGTATGAATGATACTGTCTTATGTTTATAAACTCATAGATTTATCGTTCGATATGAATAATAATTTCGAGTTTGAGCTATTATCAAGTAAACCAAAAAGACCAGTATGAAAACATTAGATGAAGTCATATGTTTCTTTGATCCACTAGTTCATTACACTACTTGATCTTGATCACATGTTGCACGAAAAAGGGTGTGGGTCACCGCTTCATCACTAACATCGATACCGACACCCACACCCCACACCCACACCCACCCATACCCACACCCTCACACCCACACCCCACACCCTATGATACATTCATGATTTATTTTTACAAATTTGCTTTGCAGTTAGACCTCCCGCACTGTTCTTCTTTCATTGATATGAATTAGAAAAGAATTGCACGGCCACGATGAAAGTTGATAAGACATTGCTAACAAACACTGGTAGATAAAGAAAAGCAAATTTCAAAAGATATTCATTTTGACAACGCATATTGTTGGAAGGCAAGCAATACTTATGGCTAATAAAGTTCCTGCATCTCTTCTGGTGTTGTCGATTGATATTGTCTATCGCATTTTGGACAACCTCGATGAATTCACAATGTTATGTTCAGCTCGTAATGTCTGTACGAGAGTCAATGCGATTATGGACACATATTATCGATATCAGGTAAACTTCACTTTCATCAAAAACGAAGATGTCTATCATCTTCTAGGTATCATCTAGAGTTCAATAAGTGGTTATTTTAATTATTTTTTTTGTTAAGTTTAAAAATAGTGAAAGTTCAAGACTAATATTTTGACTTTCATGAATTTTACCTACAAGCAAGGAATTCATTGCTTTGTCTAAGCTGTTTTCAAAAATATTATTAAATTACGTACTCTTTTCATAAATTATTTTAAGAAATAGAAAGTGAAAGTTAATACATTTTTAAAACTCAGCGAATCTTTTCGCATGATAGCTTTCCTTACTACAGTTAGAAAAGGAACTTCTTAAAATGATTTGAGTTTAAAATCATCGAAGAGCCCTAGTTGAATCTCATAATGTGTTATCCCACTGACGTGTTAAAAAATAAAATTGTAAGAGCTGTCGGAGCTTTAGAGACCCTAAGAATGCTTGAAAATCATAATAGTTATACAATCATCCAGTGAATCACAGTAAGGCCTTTTAGAGAAATATATTGAATCAGAATTAATATCAGTGTATTTTTACTCTGACACTTATGAGCATCTTTAGATAAAGTGCACGAAACGTAACTTTTACAGAAACTGGTGTTTTCTGAATGGATATTTACTTTAGAAAAGATAGATAATCTATCAGATTGATGTAACGATCATTGGATGCTAAAAAATCCTCAAATTCATGATTGTGGTTATATACAATGAAATTCCCTAACTGAAGAGTGCACAAGGGTGCCACAGTAATAAATTGTATGTTTGTGATGAGATTTCAGCATATTTAATCAATATTTATGCTACTTATATAAAAATTTTGTGTGTCGAAATGCGTCTATATTGCACTAACCATTTACATGGGAGCTTTCATAGCATCCATTTCTTTATTAAATAAAAAGATCAGTCGACATAGCGTGTAGATCTTCTTGCACCATTCGCAGTTGTGCAATCTATTGCATATAATGGTTTGCTCTCCATATCCATAAAGTAATGCCTCGTTAGGAGAGAGAGAGACTTTCTGAACTTACTCTCATCTCCAACATAGTTTATTGGGTTCTGTAAAGTCCATGAGTTTGAAATTTACAATAATCGACCGTCGCCAATCAGTTATGATGTTTAAAGTTGCTTTTTTAAGTGTTTTTATTTTTTCTTATGAGAAAGTCGAAAATATTTTCCATTAATATTATTTTGTGTTAGAGCACCCTCAGAGAGGTATTGGTAAAAATGAAGATGTTTTGTTTTTTATTCCTCTGGATTAATGAATATTTGCTTTTTCAAGAGTGGAAAACATATCTTTATCGTCTGTAGATCTTGGTTGAAATAATATTATAAAATAAAATATGAGAGAAAATCTTTCAATTTACAGCCGATAATCACTAGATTTTATTGACTTAATCATAGTTCTAAACTGTATTTTATGACGCTTTCAAACTCCCATCTTATTTTACTTCTCTTTGTGATTGTTTCTATAACCGATCTATAAATATGTTTTTCAACAATGTAAGAACTACAAATTTATGAGTCTTCATATTCAATAATTCTTTCAACGATAATAAGAAACATGAATTTACGCCAATGAGTTTCCATGAAAAGTTTCAACACTATTTTTTTAGTTTTTCTCTTGCAGTCACATTTTGACATATTTTTTTAGCTGATATGACATGAAAGTAGTGCAGTTATTTATTGAAATTCGCTTCTACCACGAAAAATATAAGAAAACAGATCTCCTTTAGATAAACTTTGAATGCGTCGTCTAAAATTAAAAATGAACAAAACAGTATAACTATTCAAAACTAGAAACAACATCTATGAAAGAGAAAATAAATAATTAACATCTTGTATCTTTTATTATAACTTATTACAGTTTTGAAAAAAAAACATGTAGTTATTCGTTTGAATATGAAAAGGCCTTAGTATTCACATAGAATTCTAGTGATGAAAAAGATTTCTTACACATTGGCAGCTATTCGACTGCTGTTAATGAGGTTTCTTACTCTTTATTTACATAGAGCAATTATGAACTCTGAGAGAATCTGCTTGGCTGATCACTATCAGGTGTTCAAATTGATAAGAAGGACTATTCATAAAGATATTAGGGCGAAACTACTTTCTTGAACTCATTCGCTCCCAAATATCTATTTCAAAAATCTTTTTTTTTACAGTACTCTTCAATAAAGTAAAAAAATTCTGCGCATCTCCGTTTATGCTTGATCATTCCATCTCTGCCATGAGTGCGCAACAATTAAAACCAAACAAAAAAAGAATCTTTGCCACACAGTATTAAACAATATCATCCCATTGCATAGATTTCGAATATTTGTAATTTTAAAATGTCAATCAAACTATGCATACACTTCATTGATGCATCATATCATGGCACAAGATGCAGGAGATGATAGCCACGTATACCTAAACATTTGAATTATTCGATCACCTCTAATGTATTCCATTGATGTTAGACTAGTGAAACCGAGCAAAAGTGTAATAGACAATGAGCAGAGTTACTTAGAGCTGTCTATAAACATTTCTGGTTCCTAAAGACCACTTTACCGTCTTCTAATTATAAAGTAGAACCAGATTTTATGATTACTTCTTGGTATTAATGTTTTGAGTAAAGAACGCAAGTTTAACAATAAGATTTCTCACAATCAGTTGTCTTTCTACTATCAAATAATAGTGGAAAACATCGAATATCTTTTCTTCTTTCTTAGATAAATGTATCGATCAAAGATTTCACTAGAACGAATTCTAATAATAAGTTGACTAAAATATGATATGATGAGTTACTGGATAAAATCCTCATTGAAAACTTAGGAGTCATAAAAAATTAAAACTTCTGCTTAATTTATTTACAAAATGACGACTATAAAAATATTTTTGTTTAAGTACATAAATCATATGTTAATAACATCATTGACTACAGCTAACAGATTGAACAACATATCTATCCAATTCTTCTACAATAGACTTTCCAATTAAAATGATCAATTTGGGCTGATATTTTCGGGTATGAGTGCCATAAGAAAAAAGCGCTTCTATTACGAATGTTAGTATGTTATGTCAAACTACAGCACATATCCGGCTTATTTATAGTCAATTAAAAGGTCTCAGAAGAATCTTTATCACTTCCTCGCTACAAGAGATACAGAGCTTGCAACTGTTTCCACTTAGAACGAATATCTGTGAATAGTTCTCGTTCGAACAGAATTTTGAAACTTCCTTCTATGCATTTTTAATGCTTGTTTTAGTACATAGAGTAACAAAATAAGTAAACAAAAGTCGCTACATAGCACTAAATTTTGCTTTGTTAAAAAAAATTATTAAAATGATTAGTTCGTGCAATAATTTACGCTTATTTGCACATTTAAAAAAGAACACATTAGTTATATTTTCAGCAATGAGGCAGATATTTCAGTTTTTAGATGGAAAACCATTTTCTGAGTAAAATGATAGGTTTTTAGATAGGAGTTTTCATTGAAACTCAGAGAGATACATACTAAATCGGCATTGCCACACTAAATGCAGGTGAAGTTTTTGAAAATCTGACACATATGAAGCAAATCAGCACTATTTATCGTACTTTTACATTGAAGAAGTAAGTTTGTTCAGCATTAATAACATTAAAAAAAAGTTTTCTCAAAGTTAAAAAAATGTAAGAGAAATGGAAGCAAAGGGAAACTTCTAAGAAAATAAGACCATATTGTCGAAATCGATTACAAACTCACATCTTCATATTACTTTTTCACAGAAAAACTATATACTCATAAAGAGAAAACTTCATGCTTCTACCAATACCAAAACTTAATTTCCATTACTCTTCGAAAAGATGAATTTTCACAGCGAGCGCTAACACTAATGCCAGTTTCTATCTATCGCATATTTGAAATAGTCATCTGATTCCACCAACTAAAACCCAAACTCAATACCTCCACACTAAAAGCGTCAAATGCAAAAATTTTAAAACTCAAAATGGCAAAAAGAAACAAGCTTGAAAGTTTAAAATCCCGATATCCGACAACATTAGATAACTTATATCTCGAGAGAAGAACTCAAAGTACGAATATTTAGTCTAAAGCCCTCGTGTTTGAAATAACTGAAGTACAACATGAAATCATATACACACCATAGCTGAAACGCAGATCATACTACCGGAAAATCAACGCACTATCCTTGCCTTCCCTTCT